TTTTTATTTATTTATTTATTTATTTTTTTGTGGGTTAGGGTTTGGCTTCTCTCACTATATAACAAGTGAAAAAGTGGGCAATTGTTTTAGGTTTCCCTCAGAGGTATGATGTGCTTCATAGATCTACGCCGGCTTCTCGTTGAGCTTTTACGGTTTCAAACTATATCTCGATCTGCTTTCTTATGTTTTCAGATACTGTAGCTTCTTGTTATTTAGTTCGCTGTAATTTGAAGGTGATCAAGGGATGAGGACACTGCAACAATTTGATGGATTTATCCTTCCGTGATGTAAATGGAATTTAAGTCTCTGATGATCATCTTTTTATTGTTATTCGATTTTGATATCGTTTTTGTGGTTTTCGTTTCAGTAGGAGAAATAAGTGTGGGATATGATGATGAATTGATTGGTCCGTGTTTCTGATTACAATGTGACTGAGATAGTTTATTTTGTTTTCTGATCCCGCAGTTAAGCAGTCATCTTATAGATAATTATGAAAAAACGTTTGTGGGCAACAAAGATTTCTAGCCCAGCTTATGAATGGATTAAGGATCGTTTTTTGTCCGGCATTGTTCTTTTTTTAAACTGTTTCCATGGGATTTGGCGTTTTTCTACAAGTTTTGCTGTGATGAATTATGAAATACACATGTCAGGCTTCAGAGGCGTTTTGTGCGCCAATGAGAAGAAAATTTCATTGTTCTGAGCAAAATTGCTATATTTCAATTTGTATGTGGTTTAAAGTTGTCTTTTTTGTTGACCTTGAGTTGCATGAAAAACAAGTAATATTTTTGGATTGAAGTTCAAGGATGTGACTTCTCAGTGAAAGCCAAAAAAATAATTTTTTTAAAGGAAAAACAATAATATTGTTTGTTAATCCGAGGTTATTGCTTCATAAAACATGTGGTTCATTCAAAGTTTTAGGACTATAGAATTTCCACATTCTTTGAGTTATGTTAGTTTAATATTTGTGTACTTAGGGGCTGTTTGGTCGCATGGTTTAGGGTGGATTCCAGCGAGATCCAGCTAAACTGCCTAAAATGCAAAATCAAATCTCATGGCAAATGAAAGCCAACATAGATGGAAAATTCCGCCTTTTTGTGCTAAATTCCGGATATTTGAAATCCGGTTTTTTGCCGGATTTACTAAATACATTGGCTCTAAAGGAAGAATCCCCTAGTTAATTTTTTTTTTTTTGACATTTAGGCCATTTAAGGCAAACTCTCACACACAACGCATACACATAGACTCGTTAAATTTGCTTTATAATCAAGAAGTCTGACTGGATTTAATTGTATTTATTATGAATGTTACCAAACAATTTTATGTAGGCCCGTCAGGATTTCCCAAATATGGATTTAGAGGATTTACAAATCCTATTTTAATCAAATCCTGGGTGCTACCAAACAGCCCCTTAGTAATCAAATCACGCTTTACTTAGGAGTTGTATGTATGCAGGATTTCGCTTAAATCCTGCTAACAAGCAAAAAAGACAATTTTAGCACCCAAAAAATCTTAAAGCTTGTTCATTCTCTGTTTTGCCTTAAATTCTGGATTTAGTAAATTTGATGGTTTGGCAGATTTAGCAGATTTAGGAGAAGAAGCACACCAAAGGGAGATAGATTGTTAATTCTACGAAGTGTTGTTTAGAAATATTAACAAATCAAATTGTAGATGCCAGATGATTAAATCTGCTTACAGTACTCGGTACATTTATGAATATGGGAGGTTATAAAATGCATTGTGGATACAATGTGACTGCCCTGCTAACACAGGTGAATGAAGGCCATCTTTTAGTGTAGCGCTACCCATTGTATTAACTGTTGACATAAAAAACTTGGCCATGTTTTCAAAGTTTTTCTGTGATGAATCAGAAAATACGTCGCATTTCAGGTACCAGAGCGTTTTATGCACTAATGATAAAATTTTATTGTTCTGAGCAAAATGAGGTATCTTCCATTATAAATTGTTCGGTTTGGTGATGATTCAAAGAACCTTGTGTCCATTGCTTAAATAAAGAGCTTTTTAATTTTGATTAAGTTGTTAGATTTCAGACAAATGACATCCAGAATGGAAGATATTTTCATTCTTGTGGCTTTTATCTTGATTTTGTTTTCTATAGACTTGTGGTTGTGGTTTAGTAGCAAAACATTCTAATAGTTATTGTTATTCATTTAGGGCATCTCCAACATGAAATCCTATTTTTCATTTCAAAATACAGGGAAATTCAAAAATATTGTGATTCATCTCCAATTGAACTTTATGTTCCTGCTTTTGCGAAGATAATTGCCTCTTCCTCTTTCTCACGTTTCTTCGGCAAATCTGGTTGAGAAAGAAAAATTGTATAGGTGAATAGTGAAACTTCAATAACTCTTCACAAATTAATGATTTTTTTTGCCATTCGAATGGAGCACAAATCAACTCCCTTATTAGTTTGTTCATTTAATGTGCTGTCGTTTTAAGCCTTTCGATTTGATGTGTGCAATACATTTTCATTAGAAAATCTGCCATTTTTTTGCCAAAGTTTCATTTATAGTTTTGGAAACGGGGCTTTTTCTCTCAAATTTCTTTGCAATTCCGGATCAAAAAGGCTATTCTGGCCAAATTAAAGGGCTAGAAAAAACATTTAAGAGGTTAAATGTTCTATTTGATTGATCTGGGCAGTTATTGTCACAGCATTGGCTCCTCTGCATTTCGAACTTTTACTTAGTACTTGCATCAGGCTTCCTATTTTGCTAGACAATGATGATTTGCTGCTCCCTATCATCGTATTATGGACGGCCTCGTCTTTGCGTAGGCAACCGTGGTGCAGTGTATTACTGTATTCCGACTGCTGCTAACGAAACTTGGGAATGTTTTGTTGCATGTGTCCAGATTTTGATCAATCCATTTTTTTGGGGGGAAATTTTGGGTAGAGCTCACATCATTAATCAAAAGAAATTATAAGTAAGTAAAGAAGTAGAAAATTATAATCCAAAATCTTAAACAACAAAAAAAGAGATGTCAAAGCTAAAACAAATTGGCTAAAGAGCTGAGAAGGACAAAACAAGACAAAGCCCTGTCAAAAAAATTGTTCAAGAGGCACCTAAGGATCAACATTCTTCATCGTCTTTTCAAAAATAACACTCAGACAATCTGTCAAGGCAACAAAAATTGCAGGTACCCAAAAACAGGCAAATTGAAAATTGCTGCAGCGTAAGCAGCAATCAACTTCAGAATAGAGCCCAAACTAAAGAAAGCAAGCGTGTTTCCAGCCATGAGTTTTGTGAATAACTGCTTTTTTTTTGTGGCAATGACCGTGGCATGGCAATCAATAATACCACCAAATTTGGAGAAATTAGTGCAGTTCTCTCTTCTCTCTCACGCTCCCCTTGCTTCACTTCTAACATACATTGTTCTCGATAGAAAGCCAAGTAACTCCAAAGGATGTAAAAAAAAAATGATAAAGGAAACTGTCTGGTCTGTCTCACAACACTACAACATCAATTTGTGGTGCTTAAATCTCTGTTTTGATCTGATGCTGCGTTGTATCTATGTCGTTGTGGTGTTATGCTCTTTGTCGTTTAGCGTTGGGACACTTGGGAACATATCGCCGAGGTGCTCGGGTACATAATGCTAAGGTCCTAGTGTACACAACGCCCGCCAGGGGGTTGTACGAAAAATTTCTTTCCTGTGCAAGCTGAGGGTAAACCTAGCAAAGCATCCAAAGTTTTTAAATGAGCCTTGAAACCTTGTTCCAAAATATTATCATATAGCTGATGCAAATTTGGCCTCATCAATAACCACTTAGCCAAAGAAGAAAAGATTTGTCAATGTCAAACGTGAAATTGCACTCAAAGAATAGGTGGGATAGGATATCCATTTTGCAATAACTAAAACAACAAATATTAGGAGTGATTATCCCACTGGTGGTAAGAGCATCAAAAGTTTTTAAGCCACCTTTAAAAGCTAGCAGAGCATACACTTAGAAATGAAGAGCAGCTTTTTTGTGCCATATAAATTTGTACCAATCAACCTTATTCAAGTTGATAAAGAATTGGGTACGAAAATCACCAAACTTAGGATTTTTGTTGTCAATCCAATAATGATTCTCCACTTGACTATCAATATTAATTGTATGGTTATCGCATTGAGGGAGAACTCACCTATCCCCCAAGATAATATTGGAAACCTTCCAATCAAAGTGTTGAGAGTAACTAGCAAGAGATTGTGAGTGTTTCAAGTATTTAGTAATGGAAGAACCACCACATCAAGGGTCCCAAAGAACATAAAGGTTGTTGCTCGGGTTAATAGAAAAAGAGATGCAATTTTTGATACAATTAGCTTTCTTGCAAATGAAAATCAAATATTGGGAGTTATTCACTGGCATAAAGTTCCACAGAGAGTATTGAGTAGTATTTGGCTCTCCACCAATTAAAGAGTAAGTTGTTGATATTTAAAAATCTCTAAATGATAAAAAAAGCAAAACTATGATGGAGGGAAGGAATGCCCAATCCTCCATTTTGTTTAGGATAGCAAGTGTCTTTCCAAGGAGAAATTATTACATCTCGTAAAAAATTGAACGGTCCGAATGTATACTGAGCAATATCGAGTCTAAAATACTGAGTTTTAGGTGACGTGGCGCGTGGTTATTGGTCTCTGAACGCATTCGAACACCGGATGTAATAATTGCTCCTTTCCAAGACACAACAAAGAGTTTTCTTTGTGTGATGTTGCCAAAGAAAGTGAATCTAGAGCACATATGACTAATTAGCTTGCAACAACTTTTAGGTATGATAGAACCACGAATCCAATAAATAAGGGTATTACATATGGTAAATTTAATGTATTGGATTTTGCCAGCAAATGATAAAGTTTTTGCTTTCCAACCATCTAAAAGAGTATAAATTTGTTGCAATAAAGATTGAAAATATTTCACTTTCAATTTCTTGTAAAAAATAGGCAATCTCAATATTTAATGGGATTGTTGTATATTTAGAATGTCACACATATCCGCAGCATAAGGGGCATTTTTAGAGAGCAAAATTGAGCTTTTTTGTGGATTGACATGGAGGCTTGTAACAGCAGCAAAATTTCTAAGAATGTAATTAAGGGTGTGAGCATTGCTGGTAGAGGCAATAGCAAAGACAAGGAGGTCATCATCAAACATAAGGTGGGTGATATCACAGCTCCCGACTGAAATTCCTTTAAAGGTGTTATTGGAAGAAGTAAATTCAAAGCTAGAAGATAATTCATCCATGATGATACTAAATATGTAGGGGAAGAGCGGACAACCTTGCATAGTACTAGAAGTGGAGTTAAAATAGCCCTCAAGCACCACATTAATGCAAATACAGAAGTGAACATCTGTAGTGCATGCCTTGATCTAAGAAATGAACATTTCAGGGAAGCTTTTGGCCTCAAGTCTTCTATAAAGGAACTCTCTAGAAATCGTGTCGAAGGTTTTAGTAATATCAAATTTTGCACAAAAAAACTTTTGCTTGGCTTTGTGATTGAAGTTTCGAAATAGATTAGCAGCTAAGAGAATGTTATTAGAAATGATTCTCTTATGAATGAAACCTCCTTGACTAGGATGGATGATGAAGGGTAACACTTCCTTCATCTTATTGGCAATAATTTTTGCGATAATCTTGTAGATAACATTTCAGAGAGAAATAGGTTTAAAATCGTTGACATTGTTGGCATGAGGGTGTTTAGGGATGAGAGTTATGGAGGTTGCTTTGACTTGGTTGGACAAGTAACCAATGTTAAAGAAGGAGGTTACAGCTTTGTAGAGATGGTGCTGAATGATATTCCAAGTGGATCTATAGAAATCAAATGTAAATCTATCTGGTCCAGGAGCAGAGTTTGATTTGCCGGAGAAAACAATGCTCTTAATTTCTTCCATGGTAACTGGGGCAATAAGAGTGGAGACAAGGTGACTGGGGATCAAATTGCCCGCAGGAATGTCTATGTAATGCTGATCCAAAGTAGGGGGAGCAGGATTATTAAATAGCTTGCTATAGTGATTGATGAAGAGATTAACAATGTCTTGGTGAGAGGTATGAGTTTCTTGCTCATTGGTGATCTCCTTAATACGATTGTGGTTTTTGGAAACATTGATTTTGGAGTAAAGGAACTTTAAGTTATCCTCCCCATGGGTAATCCATTTCACCTTGGCTCTTTGAGTGATCCAGCTAGTAAGAGTGGTGTGGTAGTATGCTAGCTTAGTGTTGATGATCTTTAGGTTGTAGTTGAGTTGGGAGTCCAAAGGGTTACTTTCAACTTGGGTAATCATAGAGTGTTGTTGCGCCTTGAGAGTGTTTATCTCAGTTTGAATGGAGTTGGCATTGGACCAAGTCTTATGCTTCATGATAAAGAGTCTTAGGCTTGTAGTTGAAAGAGCTTAAGGGACTACTCTTATTGGGTAGAGAAAAAACCTCCATAAGGCAACTCCAGAATTCAAGGAATTTGGTGCAATAGTTTTTGAACAAGAATCTATGCCCGCTCTTGTTATCAGTGGAATTCACCAAAATTAATGGAGAATGGTCAGAGCAATCAGGATCACCAACTCTATAAAAAGAGTTGGGAAAGGTGACAAGCCAATCATTGTTAACCATGACACAATCTAATTTAATGTGAATGGGATTGTGCTGTTGTTGATTATGCCAAGTGAAGAAGTGGCCAACAGAAGAGAGATCTTGCATCTCAGAATTAAACAACATGTTGTTGAAGTCTTCTAGTTTAGGGTTAGAAAGAGTTGTGCCACCAACTTTTTCTCCCAAAGTACGTCAACAATTAAAATCACCAATGATTTTCCAAGGAGTATTGATAGAATCAACAATAGCTTGAATATTCTTCCACAGAATTTGTCTTTCAGCATGAGAATTGCTAGCATAAACAACAGTTACATCACATATAGTTGAAGAGTCAATAGTTATAATACCATGAATAAATTGGCTAGTCATGTATTTAGGGGTGAAGTTTACAGCATCCTCATTCCATTTAACCCAAATGCGGCCGTGACTGGAGTATAGAAGTTGTCACAAGAGGCTTCCTTAGGTAATATTTTGTGGTTAGCTTGTAACCAATGGTTAGAGAAATTGGTGTGGGTGATTTTAGCTTCAAGGATAAAGAGAAGATCTAGATTATTGGCACGGGCTAGTCGCCTGCATCAAAATACTTTGTCCGGGTTGTTAAACCCACGAATGTTCCAAGCTGCGATGTTAGGGAGATTCATTGGGATTTAGAATTGGAGGTAGAGGCCTTTTTGGCTTGCTTGCCTCTAGTTTGTTTATGGTTTTGGTCAATTGGATGCTGAACTTTTGTGGTGTTAGAGCTAGAGGTGGATGTCTCATTGGAGGATAGGGAAATGTTGGGTTGATGGTTGCGGGGTGATGTTTGTGGTGGACTGCTTTGATTTGGGTTGGTAGTGTTAGTTGTGATAAGGGAAATGTGGGTGGAAGGGTGGATGAGGAGTAAGGTAGAAGGGTGCACTTCTTCGTTTTTGTCCTGATCAGACAAATCATCAAATTTGTTTTTGGTGCTTATAAGAGGGGGTTCTTGTAACTGAGGATTGATGTCGGTGATATCTTGAATTTCTCCAGATGGAGAGTTTAGGTTTAGTATGAGTGTACCAGTACTTGGATTTTGAGACGAAGGCAAGTTGGGTAATAGAGATGGGATTGAATTGGTTCAGTTCATCTTGGGGGGAGGGGCGGGCTTAGGAATTGTAAGTCTGGGAGGAGGGGTAAGATGCGGTTTGCGACTGGTACACCTTCCTCTAGGTTTGTTGGTGGCTTGGGGATTTAAAATTGGGTCTTTATGGTAGAGAGTTGGGGGATGCATGATTGAGCCACATTGTGAACAACGATCAGGCTTCCAGTCGTATTGCACTCTTAAGGGAGAAGATTTGCCGTCAACATTATAGAAAATTTCATCATGTAAGGGGGAGTTGTTGGTGACTTGAACACAGACTCTTGCGAAAGTTAGACGAGGTTTAGCCGTAGTTAGGGCATCAACAACAATAGGAATACCAACACAGCTAAAAAGTTTAGATATACCTTATGGAGTCCAGATAGAGAGAGCAGAAGATTCATAATTTTAATCCAAAGAGGGATGGAAGGGAATTCTTCACATTTTGGAACAAATTCGGGTGTCCATTTCCTCAATATGAACGATTTATCGAAGAAAAAACATGTCCCGCCAGTCTAAGCAAGCTCATAATCTTCAAGAGCAGAAAGTTTAAGTAAGAAGAAACCATCATCCATGGTGAGGAGAGATAGAGAGCCTTTGAGCGTCCATGTCTTTTTGATCACTGAAAGTAGGACATCGTAAAAAGGTCGCTTCCCGATGGAATAACCAACCAGTGAAAGAGACCATTCGGGAGCTCCAGCGATAAATTGATCAGTGGTAAACTGAGCATTGAGGTTTTGCGTGGGGACAAAGGAGAGGGAGTGAGAGAACTCAGTGGAGACTTGTGGTGTGGTGGCTAGGAGGTTCTTCCAAAGAGGGAGAACAACATAGACAGGAAGAGCAGTAGTGGCGGAAGAAGAAGGGAGCAGATGAAAATCAGAGTTAGTCATGGGGAGAGAACCCCCGGCCGGGGAGGCGGCGGAAAGCAAATTAGGGAGACCAGCAAAACCCTAGTAGAGCTTTTTTATCAGATGACGTCTTTTGTATTTTATTGTTTTTTTTATTTGAATTATGGTATTTTTGAAAATATTTTGAGCATTGTAATTTTTTGAATGCAGCTCATGTATTGTGCTGTGACATATTGAGTTAGTTGTATTAGGGTCTTGGCCTTTGTAATCATTTTTTATATAGTAATGGGAGAGGGCTAGTCCCTCATTTCACCTGAATAGAAAAATTATAAATAAAGTGGGAGTTTATTGCATGGGAAAGAATAATGAATAGATAGAGAATATTTATTGAAGTCTCGCATCACACCATCAAGCATATGAGCTTTAGTTATCAACCAAGAGGTTTTTTAATTCAAATATTATGTATGTGATGATGAATATGTTATGATGTCTTAATTAGATTAAAAAAAGTTGGAACAAGATTTATCTCATTTTATTTTTTATTTTCAACGATACTCTTTGATATATCATCAAATATTTATCATGATTGGGCACGAATCTCAAAGAAATTTGAGCTGGAGACTTTCAAAACTTAATTCGGGATCATTCAAACTCTCATTTCATCAAATTTATAGTTGAATTGAACGTCTCAAAAAGATGAACCTAACTACACCTAATTTGACTCAATCCTATCCCAAAGCGCATTTAGAAGGTTCAAACCATAAAATGGATGACCAAATGATCTCCAAATGTGGCATGTTTATTATCGAATTGAGCGGCTCATCGAGATGAATCTATCGAGCCTAAGATCGTCAAATTTTGATATCATTTAGGCACTCAAAATACTCGATAAACAATCCATGATCAAGGGAATTGAACTATTCCCAATGTGTTCTTGTTCTTCTCTCTATTTAGTGGTCATGCCACTCCAAAAAAATTATAAGTAGACCTCTCATTCTTCATTGAAGGGGGCCTAATCAAAGAAGAGAGGAGAAGAGGAAGAAGGAAGAGACATCTGAGATATCTCTTGCCGCTAAGCTTTTTCTTGATTACTGTGCCACTGAACGTCGTTGGTCTTTTGTTGGACTTTCGCCCTGCCACCAATTATTGCCTGACCATTATCGTTGGACTTACGCCCGGCCACCGATTGTCATCAGACTTCTGCTCAACCACCAATTATCGTTGAACTTACGTCTGGCCACCGAATGTCGTCAGACTCCTACCCGGTTATCAACTGTTGCCAGACTACCGTCCACTCTGACCATCGTTGTTCGTTAAATACGGTCCACTACGAACACCATCACTTGCCGACTATGGTCTTTTTGACCACCGTAGCCGACGACGGTCCTTTCAACCAACGTCGCCCTTCGACTATGTTCTCTTTGACTAACATCTCTAGATTATTATCTCCTCGACCGCCGTCGCCCAACTATTATCCTTCTGACCACCGTCACCGACTATATCCTTTTTGACCTCCGCACCCACATGCTATAATCTACTTTGATCGCCATCACTCGATTATGGTCTTTTTGATCTTCATTGGCTGCTAATTATAATTCTTTTGACCATGGTCACCCTACTATGGTCATTCCGACCTTCTTCATCCGCCGACTACAGTCTTTTTGACCTCCGTCCCTTGTCGATTATGATCTTTTTGAGCACCATCTCTAGACTACGATCTCCCTAATTATCGTTGCCTGACTACTGTCCTTCCAACCACTGTCTTCCGACTACAATCTTTCCATCTCCATTGCCAAATCTCACCATTCTTAACCTGGAGAAATGTTAGTATGTGTGTGTAAATAGTCACACCATCAATAAGATTATCATCAAGTTTAGATTCTACATAAGACTAGTATAGTGTTTTTCTCTGAGATGAAAGTTTATTTGTTTAATGATTAATAATATAATCTAGTTTAATAAATAATCATAATATATTCAGAAAAGTGATAACTCACATTTAGTGCCTCTTTATACTCTAATATTTTATCTTCTCAACTTCATGCAAATCGGGTCATATATTCTAAAGCCTTCTCTTCTCTTAATTTAAAAATTCTTAAGGTATGTTAAATGCAATTAAAATGATATAATTGAAATTTCTTTATTTTATGATAAATATTTATTAGGACATGCTTTATAAATTATGTATTTATTTTCTTATACTATTTTTATCAGGCATCACCGTTAGAACTTAGAAGCGTACAAAGCACGCCTCTCTGTTTACCACAGGTGGGGCTATCCGTCAACCACCGTCTCCCTTCCTTCTTCCTTGCAGATTAACCCACGTTATTGCAGAACTGCCACGATGTCCGCCGGAGCCATCATCGGCGGTGGCTGCACCTTCCTCGATGCCCATTCCCTACGTTCCCTCCTCCCGCCGTCCTCCCTCATACCCCACTTCCTCTCCTCCCTTCCTTCCCACTCCGCTGCCGTTAACTCCCCCTTTCGCCAAAGCTTCGCCATCGATCCATCAAACTCCTCCTCGCTTCTCCTCATGCCCTCCTGGTCTTCCTCCCCGTCCCTCCCATACATTGGCATCAAGATAGTCACCTCTTTCCCCCACAACACATCCTTAGGCCTCCCTGGCATCTCCGCCTCCTACGTCCTCTTCAGCTCCTCCACCGGCGCTTCCCTCGCCGCCATCGATGGCACCGAGCTCACGCTCCTCCGCACCTCGGCCGTCTCAGCCCTTGCCGCCCGCTTCCTCGCGCGTGACGACGCGCGCGTTCTTATCATGGTTGGCGCAGGCGCTCTCGCGCCTTACCTCATCCGCGCCCACAGATATGTTCGCCCGGGAATCGAGAGGGTCATCATCTGGAACCGATCGGTTTCCAAGGCACGGGATCTTGTAAAACGGCTTCAGGAGGAGGAGAAAGAAGGGGGAAATGTAGTTTTCGAGCATGTAGAAATATTGGACAACGTGATTGGAATCGGAGACGTGGTGAGCTGCGCGACAAGCTCGCAGGATCCGATTGTGAAAGGGGGAAAGCTTAAGCCGGGGGCGCATCTCGATCTGGTGGGTTCGTTCAGCCCCGCGATGAGGGAGTGTGACGACGAGGCTTTAGTAAGGGGTAGAGTGTTTGTGGATTTCGAGCCGGCCGTGGCGGAGGCTGGTGAGTTGGTTGGTGCCTTCGAGAGAGGGACTATTTCCCGTGAGGATGTGATAGGGACTCTGGTCGATTTGGCTGGAGGTATGAAGGTTGGGAGGAGAAGTCCAGAGGAGATCACCGTGTTCAAGTCTGTGGGAACAGCCGTGGTTGATCTTCTCGCGGGGCAGTTGGCTTATGAGACTCATATCAGAGGTAATTAGACTTCTAAATCTGATATCGTAATTTTGTTTGTTTGAAGGTATCTGGAGGGTAAATCATTAGCTTGATTTCTTATTGCAACGAGAACTTTTTGGTGGGTTATATTTGAGAATCTTAGAATTTGCTAGCTGATCAATTTGCGATAAGATTCCTTAGTTTTCTGAATTCTTTTTTGGATCAATTTATACTTCTTCTACTCATCCTCTTAGGTTCAACGCAGTAAATGAATTAAGTGACATTGCACACCTTTCATGAAAATTGAGCCAATAAGTTTCAAGTTCGTTAGTTCAAATTAATGCTACCCAGCTTAATTTAGATATTGAAGTATTGGAATGCACCAGTTTTGGTGACAACATGCTTGGTTAAGGCTGTTTGTTATGTTGTGCTAATTTTAAATGTACATCTGTAATATTTGAATACATTCATTGATATGCTGCTATTTTCACAAATATCTTGTGTGAAATTGTATTAAGGTGGTGCAATCAATGGCACAACATTGCTTGTAAGGAACTATGACGAAACCCCTACTCCTTGCATTGTGTGTTCAAATACTTCACAAAACGTAAGACAATATGAAAGAGAGTTAAAAACATGAGAGAACCTGATGTGAAACAATCCATGCGAAAGTGATTTGCTTAAAGAAGTTTGCACGTTTAATTTTAGAGAACATAATAATAAGCAAGATCTTATACGGAATTGAACGATAAGCTAAATATTAAAGTGTTACCTAGCTTAGGTTATCTCACACGCATAGAAGTTAAGTTCAAAAAATAGTCAGCTTAATCCAACATTGCATACATGGATAGTTCCAACAATAAATTCCAATACTAACAATAAGATTAGTCTAAGAAAGTTTCCTCACACAACTTTTCTAATTACTAGGCTTTAGCGGAGAAGAGATTAACATAAGCTTCATGAGTCTACTAAGACCACAATTGAGAAGCAACTTCGAAGATAAAAGAGTCCGGAGAAGAGTTTACCCAAAGACAAGAGAGATGCGAGCTCCGGGTAAGTCGTTGGAAGGTTGAAACGAAAGGGTACAGCAGCCACGAGCCTTTTGGATGTTGTTAGACAGGAATCTGGAACTCCGGAGTGGCGAGACAGCTACAAGGGACCATGTATATTACTGGACAGCAGCTTTAAGCTCTCCGAACAGTTAAGGACAGCCACCTACAAGGCTTAGGGAAACCTTGGACAGCTGTTGTGGACGTTTGGGGTTTTCTGGACAGCAATTTGGTTATTGACGAAACTCTGGGCTGCAAGGTAAGTCTCTTGGGAATGCAGGACAGCAAGGTTAACCTGCTGTAATCCTTGGACAGCAGTTAGGAGCTCTCCAACGGGGAGAAATCTTGAAGAAGAAGAGGGGTGGTCAAGGAGAAAAGGGGAAGGGGCTGGCCGGCGGCATTAGGAGGGAGAGAGAGGAGGAGGTGGTGGTTTAATTGCTTGCCTTGTCATTAATTCTCAATTAAGACAGATTGGAGGGAAAAATAGGCTCAATTTGAATTTGAATGGGGCTTAATTTGGGGAGTTAATAAGGGAGTAATAATGGCTAGAATTAATGAGAGAGAGGGATGAGTGGCCGGCCATGTGGAGAGGGGAGAGGCTTGAGATTTAAGTAGGTGGGGACCACTAGTAATTAATCAAAATCTGAATTTTTATTTCAGATTTTAATTGCCTCATGTAACTCCCTAATTTGAATTAAAATTAGGAGGGAATTTGGATTTCAAAAGATTGTAACTCCCCTTGATTAATTCCCTAATTTAATTTGACTTAATTAGGCAAGTCATTAATGAGGGAAATTCAAAATTGGAGGAGGGAGAGAGTGGCCGGCGGTAGGGACTCATGGGTGGTTGGCGGCAAGGGATCTTGCAGGAGGCCGGCGAGCTGCAGGGTGGAGGGTTGGCCGGCGGAAGGAGCTTTGCAGGCCGGCGGGTTGAGCCTTACAAGCCGGCAGCCAGGATGGCTCCAAGGGGATCGGCGGCAACAAGAGGAGGGAAGGGAAGAGCTAAAATCTGAGAAATTTTCGTTGCTATGATTCCACTCACCTCTTTATCTTCCAAGATCGGATCTCAACACAAAAAAATTGGACAAAATCTAGAACTCACAAAGAGATCTAGTTTCTCCTTTGAACTCACTAAGAGATCTAGAAGAAGTGCACTCACAAAGAGAACAAGGAGTAAATTTCTTCATTCATCAAAAACTAACTATTGCATAAGAAAAGAGCCATATATAGGCCTCCAAATGACAAAGAAAACAAAAGACTAAAATGCCCCTTGGGCTACAATAGCGACTAACTTCCTATAAGGGCAAAAACGGAAAAACGGAAAAACATAAAAATCAAATAAACTACTACATAAAATGACAAAAAAAAAAAATACAGCTCATGATCGTGGCCGTCGATCTTCGATGTCCTCATCAGAACCCTAAGCGGTGAGATTAAGCACCTAGACCTCCATCGCTTCAATTATTTTTTCAATCTACAAAAAAGGTATTTAATATATTGTATGAATTTTTTTGGTGAAACTAAGATCCACATTTTTTAATAATCTCCTAATTGGTGATGAAATATACTATATCGCGATAATCATTTCTATGTGACACCCCTCTCTTAATTATTGATGGGAATTGACTAAAGTTTTTGTTGTACCTCAGTCTATTAGTGGTTAATTTTTCAACCTTGATCTTAGATCCATTAACTAGAACCCTTGCTTAGTTGCGTTGTACCTTCTTTTTTCTATTGGGATCCTCTTTAACACGAAGCGGCATTTGCTATGCAATGCCCAATTGTCCTTTGGTAGCATTCGCTATACAAAGTATAAGTTTCCAATCGCTGCTTTAGCTTCACCATCATTTATTTGCTAATGCAATGTAATATAGCATTTGTGTGTAGACTTTATTCATTGAAAATTTCTCAACTCAACCACAAGTGTGCTCGGCCCTGCCTGCATCTCAATATTCTAAGTCTCTTGATCATTTGTTTAAATATTATCTTCAAATATCTCCTCTAGCTCAAATTGTTCAGTTGTGAATGCCTGTCTTTTTGCATAGTTAGACCCATTATTGTACATGTCGATTTCATTGAAATAGCATTTGTACTCTAACAATATTTCAATTGTATCATCCTAAAACGAATGATTGATTGTCAATTCCATAATCAATTAACCCTCAGTAGATTTCACATACTTATTAGAAAGATATAAAAAAAAAACCTTTAAATAAGAAAGGTTCTCCTTACTATTCACACTTCTTTGGGTAGCATGAAACTCCTAGGACTTGAGGGCGTTTTATTAAGCAAATAAACTACAATATTCATAACATTTACCCAAACAGTTTCTGGCGATCTATCATGTAACCTCATGCTTATAACTTTAAATTCCTAGTTCTTTTCATGAAACCAATAATTCCATCTTGTTGTAGTATTCTTATATTTGTCCATTCATACATATTTCACTTGTTGTGCAAAATTCCTGAAATATTTATTGTATCATTCTCCTTCGTCATTTGATCTCAAATAATTAATCTTCTCCCTAAACTCATTCTCCGTCAAATATATTCATTTCATGTTAGATTTATTTTTTAGAAAATAAACTCATACCTTCTTGATAAATTTACCATAAAAGATAACATAATATAGTGACTATCTAAGGGATGTTATGAGGGATGATCCCTTGGTATATATAAGCTCTAATTTTTTAGTCTTGGTTCCCTTTGATTTAGTGCAAAATTGACCTTCCTCGGCCTACAAAATACAATATCTTTATACAAACTAAATTCAATTATTTCAAATTTGAAAGCTTACTAATTGTGTTTGTGATGTGATACAAACAAGAATTGCAAGGAATTGATAAAATATTGTAAATCTTGCCGCTTTAAGGTTAATGTATCATAAGAATTAACTTTAAGAATTTTTAGTTGAAATTTGATGCGGTATGCAATTATAAGCTAGGAGAACAAAACAACAAAAATAAGATAAGAAAAATACAGTAAAACTAGTTATGCCGTAATAAAAATTCACGGGTTAATATCTAGAACATTCACCTTGAGTTTCCTCTCACTCACGCTCTATGAAAGATTTTAGCTTAAAGAGAATCTCAGCGTTCAAATAACATTAAATAGGATGCACATATATAATTCATCAATTGCAATATGTTCTATGCAACCATATATAATCATAAGTTATATAAGATGCAAATTCAAAAAGCCATAATAAAACGTGCGATGCAAAAAGAGATCTATGGTAACTATACAGATGTGTAAGAGGGTGAGATTGAAGAAAATTGATATTGATTTATATTTGAATGAGTTATTATATATTCATATGTATGGTTGCCCACTATAGCAATAATTCAAGGTTAATCATGCCTCCAAGAGAATATAAAGTGTTCACAAATTTTAAGCCTAAAGGGAAGATCGTTGAAAAATTGAAGATCAATCAAATTTACTAATGATGATCACATTATTTATATGGATGTAAGCTCAATATGAAATGAAGCTATAAGCAATGCAAACAAAGAACTTGAATGAAGGAATTATTACAGGTCATAATATCTCATGCATGCCTTTCAACGCATGTTTGAACATTTCTCAGCTAGCAAGACATTATACTCATTGTCAATATATACAAACTTTTACTAGTATTATCCAAAATCACTAAATTGGTAGAAATTCTTATAAGTCTGTATAGCTAATGTTTTTGTTATGATTCAACCATATGCTTTAGAACACATTCATAGAAGACAGTATATATTTTACTTAATGATTGTTGATGAATATTAAATAGAATACACATACAAGTTTAATGAAATTTAGTTTGAATGCTCCTAGAATTCAATTGAGCAAAATTCTGACGTTTGGCTACGACCTTATATTTAAATGTGATTTTTAGAGTGGTCATCCATAAAATATTACCAATTTCTAACTGTCGATATATGTATAGATCCCTAATATTATTTTTGAATTTTTTTCTCATTGACACAGAAACGAACAGGACATGTCCACAATTAGTGAAACCGTAGCATGTCGTCTACCTCTACGTTATTGTAACAATTACTTCTTCAATCATATAAAATAATAAAGAAACAAACAAAATAGCTTATGTGCACATACGTTCAAGGATCGAAAAAACTTTGGGCTCTGATTTTCGTCTTATCTGAGCAATCAAACCCACACTAACACTCACATGTTGTTTCGATCGCAGCCGAGGTTCGAGTACGCCCCTGTATGCCTAGTTGATCAAGAATAACACATTTGCCGGCAGAACAAGGCAAAGGCGCTGTTTTTGATCAACTGGGCAAACAAGGGCGTACTCGGACCTCAGCTGCGATCGAAATAACAGGTGGGTGTTAGCGTGGGTTTAATTGCTCGGAGAATACTGAAAATCAGAGACCAAAGTTTTTTCGATTCTTGAAGGTGTGTGTGCATAAGTTATTTTATTCGTTTCTTTATTATTTTATATGATTGAAGAACTCATTATTCTAATAACGTAGAGGTAGGCGACGTGCTGCGGTTTCACTAATCGTGGCCACGTCCTGTTCGTTTCTTTGTCGATGTGGGAATTTCTTTTTTTCAAAAATGATATTAGAGATCTATACATGTATCGACAGTCAGAAATTGATAATTTTTCATGGACGACCACTCTAAAAATCACATTTAAATGTGAGGTTGTTGACAAACGTCGGAATTTTGCTTAATTGAGTTCTAGGAGCATTCAAACTGAATTTCATTAAACTTGTATGAGTATTCTATTTAACATTAATCAGCAATCATTAATTAAAATCTATTATTGGCTTCTATGAATGTGTTTTAAAGCATATGGCTGAATCATAACAAAAACATTAGCTATATAGACTTCTAAGGATTTTCACCAATTTAGTGATTTTGTATAATACTAGTAGAAGTTTATCTATATTGGCAATATGTATAATGTCTTGCTAGCTGAAAAATGCTCAAACATACGTTGGAAGACATGCATGAGATATTATGACATGTAATAATTTCCTTCATTCAAGTTCTTTGTTTGCATTGCTTATAGTTTCATTATCCATATAAATAACGTGTTCATCATTAGTAAATCTGATTGATCTTCAGTTATCTAACGATCTTCCCTTTAGGCTTAAGATTTGTGAACACTTTGTATTCTCTTGGAGGCATGATTGACCTTGAATTATTGTTATAGTGGGCAGCCATACATATGATGACTCATTCAAAATAAATCAATCTCACCCTCTTACACATCTGTATAGTTCCCATGGGTCTCTTTTTGCATCGCACATTTTATTATGACTTTTTTGAATTTGCATCTGATATAACTTATTGTTATATGTGTTTGCAAAGAACATATTGCAATTGATGAATTATATATATGCATCATGTTTAATGTTATTTGAACACTTAGTAAATCAAACGATGCCAACAAAAGAGATAAAACATCAACGGTCTTGATCCACGGGAAGGTAGACGGAGAAGCGGGTGGATGTACGATGATTTGTCACTGTCCGGAGGGTCATTGTTTGTCGATAGTCTCAGCTAAGTAGAATAGTATGCGGTCGATGTAATCTTTAACGATGTCTTCTATCTCCCAGTCGGGGTTGAAGAACGGCGACTGAAGAATATCTATTTGCCATGAGAATCGTATGCAAAGTCGTGGTCTACTTCAGGATCGACCATCTATGGAGGAGGGGGAGAAGGCTTGGAGGGGTTCAGCTAGGGCTTAGGTAGAAGCCTTCAAGAATAGAAATATGAATTTAATTTTTGATTTTCTATCTTGTTGTGGAGGGAGGATTTGAATTTCCAAGATACCTTAATAGGGAATTAATGAGGGGAAATTGGAGAGAGGTGGCCGGCGGTTTAAAAGGGTAATGGATTAATTGGTAGGCTAAGGAGTTAATTGGAGAGAAGAAAAGGAAGGGGAGGTGGCCAGCCAAAGGAGGAAGGGGGATTTAGGAAAGAGATTTGAGATTCAAAATAATTTGAATTCAAATTAGAAACTTTCCAAATCAATATGGGGATAAATAGGGGGGGGGATTATGTCCACATTCAATGTATGTGGTCCCGATCTTTAAATGTTAATTGTCTATCTAAATCTGAATTAATTTCAGATTTTTAGATTGGGGAAGCTTCCTAAATTAAATCTCTTGATTTAGGAAAGAGATTTGAGATTCAAAATAATTTGAATTCAAATTAGAAACTTTCCAAATCAATATGGGGATAAATTAGGAAACTAATTATGAGGGAATTTGAATGGGAAATCTAGGGTTCGGGGCGGCATGGATGGCGTTAGGGCTTGGTTGGGCCGACGACAAGAGGAAGGGTGGTGGGGCTTAGATCGGCGGAAGGGCGGGAAGGGGAGGCCGGCGGTTTGGGGTTGGTTAGGAAGGGTGGCCGGCGGTGGAAGTAAGGGAGGAGGAAGATGGATAAACCACAAAATACTAGCCGCAATCCTTGGACTCTTCCGAAGATTGATAGATATTGCAATCACCCTCACCTAGGGTTCTCTTTCTTCTCTCAAAGGTCACAACATTGAAGAAGTCAAAAGTTGGAATTTTTATTAATCAAATTATCATTAAAATACAATAAAGGGGGCTCTTGTATATAGGCCTTAACATGACAAAAGAAAATGGCTAAAGTGCCCTCATGACTACAACATCAAACTAACTACCCATATGGGGTAAAATAGGGAAAATTGAAATATAAAATAAACAATACATAAAATGCATAAAAAATAAAGACTCCCGATCGTGGCCGTCGATCTCTGATGCCTCCTCATATAAACGCGCCAAAATCTTCTGCTGATGTCCTCATCAGCTTATATCCTTATCTCTTTCTCGCTTAAAAATACAAGTCCTAACCTTTGATACCATATATTTGAGTCAATATTTGAATACACAGTTGCTTATTCGCACTATCAGCATAATACACTTAGTCACCTTCAAGTATTTATCACAGAGGATTGAGATGTAAATTTTTTTTTAATTCAGGTGCCAAATTGAGATTAAGGCCCTCTTGAAGTCTGGAATTTGGCTCACCTTATAAAGCTTTCATGTAGCACCATTAGCGATTTTGATTTGCTCAAGGGCTCATATTCCACAAGATAAACCTTGTTTGTTGCAAAAGGCTTCTCATATATGTCTAATAAAGTTTTAATCACTTTGGTTGTGCTCTTCTCAACTATGCTGGATGTTTTGTTAGCGCAAGGATAAAGCTCCTAGTGGTAATTAAGCTCCACATATTAGCATTGCTTAGCAAGTGCTGAAAAGGAAGTTGATTGTATGATAGAGCTATCTGCGTTGGTGTTATTCCTTACCTTCGAATGAGTAATTGAAGGGACCTTTAAGAAGACCACATAAATTGAGTTCAACAAGGTGGTACGTGAATTGAGTTTGCCTTCTAACTCTTTAGGCAAACTTCGAAGAAGATCACATGAAGGATGGCGTTACAATCTTTGATTACTTATAATAGAAAAAAAATGATGTAGAACAAAATTTTCTGTTTTGACACCAGGTAAAGAAATCACTTAAATCTCATATTGTTCCCTTACTGGGAATTCCTTGTTTATTTTTTTGCAGGGTCACATTGAGTTCTATCAGAAGACTGCTGGGAGCTTGGTCCTTCAAAGCTGTATTTTCCTTGCCTGAGAATCAGGTCCATCTGAAGTTATCAATAAAAATCTGTGTAATGTAACAAGAATAACTTGCCAGATCTTAAACGACTCCAGCCGCCGTCGCCTCATTAGCCAAAGATAAAGATCTAATTAAAACAATAAATAACAGTTCTTGTTGTTTAGGTGAAAGCTTCTTCCTGGATTAAAGCCAAACGTCAGGTGATTGTAGGGGATGGTTCCTTGCCGTCCATTTCTGGATTTTGTTCATCACCCACATTACTAATGAAACTCATACAACTCTATTTAATGAGAACTGCAGTCTTTTTGGTTGATTGGCTGAGGTCAATTATGTGAGAAGTTCGTGGCACATAAATCCTCCAAGGAATGTCTTGTAGGAATCCTTGGAGGAAGCAGTTGAATAGAAATTGTTTATTTTATGTGTTGCAACCTGGAGTATTCGCGGCGGTAGAGAAATATAAAGTTTAGCGTCTTAGCGTTGTACGAAGATCCAGCACGCACACAGATGAAAGAAAGGGTGCAATATTCATATGAGACATTAGAATTTTTACGTGAAAAATCTCTAAAATGGGGGAAAAATTATGGGGCCTAGCACAGTTTGAATAAATCCACTAGTATTTGCAATTGATTACAAATGAGGCCCTTCTTTGGGGGAAGACCTTAGCTTGATGTGCATCGTATAGAGTATATTACATGGTGGAAATATAAAGAATCATTGTTGATGTGTTTATTTTGGTTGGAAGGACTGTAGTCAGTGGGCGACGTAAGTTGGAAGGATCGTAGTTGGTGGGCGACATAAGTCAGAAGAAACATGGTCGGCGGGCGACGGAGGTCATAAAGGTCGTTGTCTAACAACGGAGGTTGGAAGGACGACGTCAGGTAGAAGTCCAGCGATGGATAGAAGTCTAGCGCTAGATAGAATTCTGACGAATGTCCTGCGACGGGTAAAAGTTCGATGTTGGGTAGAAGTCTGTTGATGGACGGACATAAGTCTGATGTCAGATAGTAGTCCGGCAAAAGTCCAACGACAGGTAGAATTCCGACGTCGAGTAGAAATCCGGCGATGAGCGGAAGTCCAATGTCAAGTAGAAGTATGGAGGCGCGATGTCGGGTAGAAGTCCGACGTCAGCTGGCAGCCGGTCAGAACTCCGGCGTCGGTTAGAAATTTGGCGACGAGCGGAAGTCTGACGTCTGGTAGAAATTTAGCGACGTATTATGAGACTCCCTATTTCATTTATAGAAAATCGTGAGGAACTCCGGCGTTACTTAGAGGTCGGGTGGAACTCCGACGGTGGTCGAGGAGGAGCTTCTTCCCTCATGTTCTTCTCTTCCTTTTTTCTTCTTCTCTTCCTTTGGTTCCCCTCTTAAGAGATATGATGAGTTATTTATAATTTTTTTAGAGTGGCATGACCCGTAAATAGGAGGAGGATCAAGAGCAAATGTGGAGTGATATTGAATCCCTTGATCGTTGACCGTTCGTCAAATATTTGAAGGTCTTAATGATATCGGAAGTCGGCGATCTTGGGCTCGTTGGATTCGTCTCATCGAGCCGCTCGATTCGACTATAAGTATGTCATGTTTTGAAACCATTTTTTTCCCATTTAATCATCCAAATTGTGGTTTGAACCTTCCAACAGCGCTTTGGGTCTTCGATTTGGACTCATTTGGGCTCGGATTGAGTTGAGTTTGATGCCGTTGGGTTCGTATTTTTGAGACGCTCAGTTCGACTGTAAGTTTGCTGAAATCATAGTTCAAATGATCCCAAATTAAATTTTTGAAGCTTCCGGCTTGATTTTGCCTTGGAATTTGTGCTTGATCAAGATACTTTTTTGATGATATATCATTTTGTATTCTTAGAAATTAGAATTATGCGTTTGAAGATTTAAAAGACTAGTGTTATGTGTTGATTACGTAAGACTTTCAGTGATAATTGATGGTGATGGTCGAAAGTCGAGAGAAATGCTAAGTACAATATGGTCATTCTTCAAATAAGAGATGGAAAAATTATTCTGTGCGGAGTCCGGACGTCGTCCAGATACCAACAAAAATGCGCCACATCACCCAAAAATTGTACCGAGCGCGGAACCGACGCTCGGTACCAAGTGGTACCGGACGGTTCTCCCGTCCGGTGTCCACACAGAATAATCTCTCTAATAGATGGGAGATTGGAAATGAAAAGGTCAGCATCACACAAGATGATGGTCATTATAGGCATTAGGCTACAATTGATGGAAGTGTAAAAGTCTTATTCTCGTAATATGAGAGGCAATGACTGGCAATCAACATGATCATTAGCCTAATACAATTGGTGTTTAATTGATTAATAATGAATACCAGACATTAGTGATTGATGGGCAATATTCATGCAATAGTGGACAATTAGATCGGTCCTTTCCCATATTGGGGAGGCGATCAAGTGGTTTTGCTAACATGCGTTCAATGTCGATGGTTGATAAATATTGATGGATGACAATGGCAAGCATTAGGCGATTGACAATAGGGTGTTTTATTCATGCAATGGTGGACAAAAGTTTGGTGATATTATGTTGTTTGTTTGGTCATTCTCCTAACATGAAAAAAATAACGAGAGAATAGGAAGACATGCATTAAACTTCGGGGCTAGCATACATAGATGATTGCTAGATGTTGGATGTTAGTTATTGTTGGGCAATGATGGTCAATAGAGAAATTTAGAATTCAATTTTTTGTAGGTAGTTGATTTTGTCGTTCTTCTAATACGAGAGGAGATCAAATGATCAAAAAGATTAATGTTGGTGGATAACAAACTTCAGTTGTTCATTGATGCAAAGTAGCATTCGATCTGAAATGTCAAAAGATTGGTGATACTGTACAATCTACTCATAGCAAGGCGATTAAGATTTCATTTGGGAAAGCTTTTTTTTTCCTTTTTAAAGCAGCTTTCTAGTACAAATATTTTATTAAACAGTTAGTTTAAGAAGCATAAAAAAAGTCGTCCCAAATCAAGCCGAAGTGATTGAGAAAATGGATGTTGATGGTAAGTGCGAGGTAGTGGATAATGGGTGTTGAGTTCATTTATGGACGACCTCAAACTATGGAAGATGATTTGCATTGGCATCGTCAATAGTTAGCATCGGTAACTGTCAGTCTAGCGCCAATGTTGGTTGACAATCAGTGTTGGATTTTTTTTTTTTTTTGGGACATTTAGGCCATTTAAGGCAAACTCACACACACACAACGCATACACAAAGACTCGAATCCAAACCTCTTAGTTGGAACCCAATCAGTGTCGGATTACAGGCGAGAACCAGCAATGACAGTTACTTATTTGTATATATACTATTATATTTATAAGAAATTATTTTTTATGCATCTAATTTTGACATATGTACAATTATTTTAGATTAAAATATAAATAATATTATAATTTTCATGAAATAATTCATTTTATTATAAAATTAGAATCTTTCTTTATAATACACGTATCTCTCACTTATTTTGTTAACAAAAGTTTTTAATAATTATCGTACATTACGGTGTGATTTGTTCACTTGAAATTAAAAATTGAAATACAAAAATTCTAACATAATAAATTATTAGAATACATGAATTTTAGGAATAGGTAAATTATTTGGTTGTATGCAAGTGAAATACATTGATTTTTTTTTTATTTATTATGATGCATTTCAAATGTCTTTATATATGTCAGACGTTGGCAAGCGGTGGTCTTTCATGTCCTCGCAATATTTGACGTCCTCTAGACTAGTTTCCATCTTCATAGCTTCTTCCCATATTTTCTTTCTCAGCTTTCTTCCTAGGAGAAAACATGTCTCAAGTGAGGAAAATAGTCCGTCATCATCATAAACCCTAGATATTGGCATGTTTATTTTCAATTTTTGCGTCTGGTTCAGGTCAAGTCGTCGGGCCGTGCAGGATGTTGGAAAAAACGTGCTAAATATTTGTTTTTCATCGAGTCCCATAGTGGGGTCGTCGGGCCACATGTGGCGACACTGCGACATTTTATTGGAATCCGGACGTCCACACCGAATAATTTTTTGGGAGTGAGGGGTGGCTTGGGGAGTGGGCGATGGGGCTACGGCTAGAGATAGTGTGGCAGTTGCTAAGGGCATCTCCAACCGAAAATCTCATGTTTCACTCCAAAATGCCGTGAAATTAAAAAATGCCGTGATTCATCTCCAATGGAATGTCATTTTACCCGTAATGGTCGTTCGCGCGTTTCTTCGGTAAGTTCGGTAGAGACAAAAAATGGCGGAGATGAATAGTGCAACGCCAATATTAGCGCTGGACTGTTCATTCACGATGAAATGAAATAAAAATTGCTGCTCAATTGGAGTGACGGAAGAACGACAGTTCCATTGGAGATGCTCTAAGAAGCCTTGAAGGCTACCAAGTGATGGTAGGAAGGAGGAACAATTATTACGTCCTCTGACCGGGCGTAGAGCTATGTTCGGCCACCAATAACATGTCGCCACGTGCTCTTACTCTTTACCGCGCAGCCCGACGACTTGACCCAGACCGGAACCCGGGAATGCTATGTTCGCGAATTGCGAGGTATTACTCGGTATTGCTAGGTATTGCTTGACAATAATGAGAAATACCGCTTTGTGAAGACCAGTACCGAGCAATACCGAGTTGTATCGAGTTTTCTAGAAAAACTCGGTACAACTCGGTATTGCTCGGTATTGGTTATTGCCGAGCAAAATTGGCCAATACCGAGCAATACTCAGCAAAATCGAGAAATAACGAGCCATCCTGGGTTCGTTCCGGGTTGGATTGTCGGGGCGCACGGTAAATAATGAGAATGCATGGTACGATTCTACTGGCGGCCGAACGTAGAGCTACGTTCTGTGACCGAACCAAATAAAAGTTCTAGGAGGAGGTTGTTAGCGAGCAGGTGATGACGATATAGCGAAAAACATTGACGACTTATAGTCGAGTGGGCACCGGTCCTTGCGGTACATGGTGGGCGTGGCCAAACAAGTTCTTAGTTTTTTATCCATTTGAAATTTACCTTGATATGATCAAATTTTAAATTCTTAAAAAAATAAATATTCAGTAATATTTCAAATCCCATGACAAATATGTGTTCACATCAAATTAAAAAGCAACAAAATTAAATGTAATGTATTTTTTTTATTACTTTTAGACTTATCCTTGCAACCAAACAATCCCTAAGTAAATGAATTTCACTATTAAAAACGAGTAGACATTAATTTTCGGGGAATTTGATGGAATTGCTCTTTTTTCATTAAATTTATCTTAAAAATTTTAATTTTAAAGATTAAAACATATCTTTCAATTTTTTATTTTTGATAATAATAAATTTATATTAAATTAAAGTGGTGATAGATTCCTATATTATATTATGAGATTGTTTGGTTGAAAGTAAAATGAGTGTAAAGTAATCTAAGTGTAGAGGTCATGAAAATATTGATGTTTGGTTATATGAAAAATAGTGCAAAGTAAAGTAAATGTAGTGTAAATCATTTTAGGGGATGTTTCGTTACTTGCAAAGAGAATGTAAAGTATTTTAAATGCAGGGCTTTGAAATATTGATGTTTGGTTTGAATTAGAATAAACACAGTGTATAATCTTGGTCAATTTGGAATACACTATCTAGTTTATTTTTTGTGTATTTGGAATTGCTCTGATTTGTTAAGTTTTCGCCCGTCGTCGCCACGCTTTGGACGCTAACCACCGCCCGCCTCCGCCGACCATTTTACATTATATATATTTTTAGTTCAAACTAAATAAGAAAAGTAATCTCATGCATTTTTTTACAATCATTCAAATAACTCTAAAATATTTCCTTTACATTACATTCATTTTTTGAGAAAATAAATAGCTCCTAAATAAAAACAATAAAGAAATTTATTAATATGAGATTGAAAACTTAAATAGACAAGCAAATGGAAATACATTTTTGTTGTTCACAATTTTTTTTTGTTATTGATACGACATCACAAAATTAGCTTGATCGGGCACGAATCTCGAGGCAAAAGCTAGTTGGAAACTTCAAAAATTAATTTTGGGAGCCCCCGAACTCCGATTTCTGCAAGCTTATAGTCAAATTGAGCGTCTCGGAAATACGAACCCAATGACGCCAAGATCAACTCAATCAGAGTCCAAATGAGTCCGGATCAAGGACCCGAAGCGCTGTTGGAAGGTTCAAACCGCAATTTGAGTTACCAAACGGTCTCCGATTTTAACGAGCTTATACTCGAATCGAACGGCTTGACGAGACGAATCCAACGAGCCAAAGATCTCCGGATTCCAACATCATTAAGGCCTTCAAATGTCCAACGAACAGTGCATGATCAAAGGATTCGATATCAGCCGTCCATTCAAACCACTCCCAATTCGCCCATGATCTCACGTCTATTTATGGGCTTTTGCCACTCCAGAAAAACTATAAATAGAGCCCTCATTATTCACAGAGGGAGGGGGGAAGAGAGAGAAGAAGAAGGGAAGAAGAAGGAAAAGAGGAAAAGGCGAATCCTCTCCTCCTCGACCACCGCCGGAGCTCTTCCAGCCGCATGAAGACGCCGGAACTCTGCTGGATTTTCAAGAAACACAGGAATTCTGCACAACTTCCACATGATGCTGAAATCTTTTCCAATTAACAACAGAGTTCCCTCTTAACGCCAAAACTCCGCCCAAGTGAAGCCGGAGTTCTCCTCTGCCATTAACAGATGTCAGACTTCTACCCGACGTCGAACCTTCACTCTCCGCCAAGTTTTTACCCGACGCCGGAATTCTACCGGTTATCGGACTCCTCTAGAAGTCTATGCGAAGATGGATTTCTTTCCATTGTTGGACTTCTACGTGACGCAGTCCTTCTGATCTTCGTCGTCAGACTACAATCTTTCTGACCTTCGTCGTCAGCCGACTACGGTCCTCCTGACTTACGTCGTCCACCGACTACAGTCTTTCCGACTTGTAGTAAATAGATAATATATATATATATATATATATTAAGTTTGAAATGGCCTTAGTTTATTAGAGGAGAGTGTTCCTACAAAATAAATAAATATTAAGTAAGCATATCGAAAACATCATTTTATACCTACCCCCCTCAGCAGACTAAGCACAACAAGGCCGACATGACCTGGCAACGGACTATCGCAACGGCGAACACAGATCACAGGCAACCGAACGGATAAAGGTAGAGAAGTGTGAGATTAAGCTCTCTTCAAATCATTAAACCCGAGCGTGAGGAGGAAGACGACAAAAAAGCTCCCAAAATGCTGCTTCTTTTCTCCCATTTCAAAACTACTATCCCTTCAGCTCAGTGCTACCACCATTGCTGAATAGATTTGGTACATAAAAGCTGAGAGGAAGACGCAGGAGAAGCAAAGATGTCATTTTGGGATGCTTCCTTCCTCACAAAACAAACGCCCATCTTCGATCTCCATCTCTGGGTAATCATCGCCATCTCCGTAGGCGCTGCCATTGTCATCATCCTCTTCCTCCTCTCCCTCTTCCTCACATTCCGTCGCTCTTTCCATAAACCCCTCAAATCCCGCCTCCAAAACATCAGTCCTCCCATCTCCAAAGAAATCCTCGAAATCGCGCGCCACAATTCCCAGAACTCCCTCACCGAGATTCATGTCAAAGATCACCGCGTCGATTTATCTGACCATCTGCGGCGGCCACCGTCGCCATCGACGGCGAGTGGGGAGAGCCGGAGCGCCACTTCCGATGTGATGATTTCGCCTAAAATGGTTGGGGGGCTGCCGGAGGTTTCGCATCTGGGATGGGGCCATTGGTATACGCTTCGGGAGTTGGAGGAAGCAACCGGACGGTTCTGCGATGAGAATGTGATAGGAGAGGGAGGGTATGGCATTGTCTACCGTGGGGTTTTGGCTGATAACACTGTTGTTGCCGTCAAGAATCTTCTGAACAACAGGTCGGTGGTTAGAAAAATTAGAGTTTTTATATATGTCGAAGCTTTTTTTTTTTCCCCCTTTTATCAAGATTGGAGGTTTGAGGTTTTTTATTTGAAGATTGAGGAATTGTTTATTATGCAGGCTAAATTCCACTAAACATGATTTGACAAGCAATAACATTTGCTAGCCTCATCATTTAGTCATGTGCAGCAGTTCTTTAAGGTCAAAATCAATATTTCTCATTTCAAACAAACAAATGAGTTCAAAACAAAATTTTGAGGTTTTCTTAAATCTTGGATTTCATAAATTCAGAATTTGCGTAGAAATCGTTTCCATAATCTTCCTATTACTTCCACTTGAACTGTTTTTAGAATTTCATTTGGATTAAAGATACTTACAGCCAAACAACTTTTAAGATTTTTTGCAATCCTAAGATTTGCTAAATCGAGACTTAAAACATTTAGGGTTCGTTTGTGACGACTTTTTTATTGCTTCTTAAAGCAGTTTTTTAGTACAAAATTTTTAATTTTTGTATTAGAAAGCTGCTTTAAGAAGCAGTAAAAAAGTCATCCCAAACAAAAACCTTATTATTCTGCTTCACTTAAATTTAAATACTGCATGCTACCAACTAAGCAGCCCCCTGAATCTCTCTTTTTTGTTTCTTCATACCCCACCCAACGGCCAACATGAAGAATGATTGAATAATTAGTTTAATTCCTTCGATCAGGGGCCAAGCTGAAAAGGAGTTCAGAGTAGAGGTTGAAGCAATTGGGCGCGTTAGGCATAAAAATCTGGTCAGATTGCTTGGCTACTGCGCTGAAGGAGCCCATAGGTACAACTTTTCTTCTTAGATTTTTTTTTTTCTATTTCCCATCACTGTCACTTATTTATTCTAGTTGTACAAAAAAGGTTTCAAAATAGAGTTAATATTTCTTGCAACATTGAATAAGAACCTAAGGATAATGATGGTTATAAAGCCGACCATTATTGAGATAATATTAATGAGGATGATGAGAATGAGAAAGTTGCTTCTTTTACCCTTAAAAGTTGTAGATTTTGATTCCTAAGATGGATTTTTTTGCCTAATATAATTGTCTGTGATGCCATTTTCTTTCTTTTTTGTTTGTGTAGGATGCTGGTTTATGAGTATGTAAACAATGGTAATTTGGATCAGTGGCTTCATGGGGATTTGGGGGATGTGAGTCTATTGACCTGGGAAATCAGGATGAACATAATCCTTGGAACTGCTAAAGGGTAAGAAGTTCTACTCTTTCAAGGCAGGCCATATGATTTTAAAAGATTTTCTTGTAAACAATGTTGTGAACATGAAGAGAATCATTACTCAATCAACTTACTAATCACAAATACTTCTAATTTTTAATATTCTATGATCTTTTGAATGTCTTGAACGGCTTTCCAAATCGACATAAAATCTAGATAAGGAAGTTCCTTGCCAACTTGAAGATATTTCTTATCTCTTAGAAAAAAATAGCTATGGTTGCTGTACCAGTGGAACTATATATCTAATGTCATTGCAATTTACATTGTAAGACTGAACAATTTTTTTTGGTTGAACTCCCATTATAAAAAATCATAGTTCTTATAAACGCTTCATTATGAGGACTGACTGGCAATGAAAGGCTGTAACTTAATTTTTTTTGCTCATAGCTTGGCATACCTTCATGAAGGTCTAGAACCAAAAGTTGTTCACAGAGATGTGAAATCTAGCAACATATTGCTCGACCGACAGTGGAACTCTAAAGTATCCGACTTCGGTCTTGCCAAGCTTTTGTGCTCAGAGAGGAGTTATGTGACGACGCGAGTGATGGGGACATTTGGGTAGGTTCAGAACTTCAAATCTAAACTCCTAATCACAGTTTTTTAATAGTGTTCAGAGATCTTGCAACTTTCTTTTATTTGCAGCTATGTGGCACCTGAATATGCCAGTACTGGAATGTTGAATGAGAGAAGTGATGTGTACAGCTTTGGGGTTTTGATCATGGAGATCATATCAGGAAGAACTCCCGCTGATTACTCGAGGCCTCCTGGAGAGGTTGGTGCCGTAAATTTTTTTGTTTGTTTTTGTTTCTACACTTAGGCTCTCTTTGAATGCGCTGAAAATGAGAGTTGAGGTTGAATCAAAGAAGTTGCCATTGTTTCCCTTTCATAGCAACCAAATATAACCTTATGATACATTTTGTTTCACGATGTAAGGTGATCTTAATATTTTGGTTTTATGACAATTAGGTCAGTTTGGTTGAGTGGTTGAAAATTTTGGTTGGAGAACGAAGATCGGAGGAGGTCATCGATCCTAGGATATTGGAGAAGCCTCCTTCCAAATCACTCAAACGGGCACTTCTAGTTGCCCTACGTTGTGTTGATCCTGATGCAGTCAAAAGACCAAGAATGGGGCATGTAATCCACATGCTTGAAATGGAGGAGCTATTTAGAGAGGTAACATCTTAGGTTTTGTTTGGGATGACTTTCTTACTGCTTCTTAAAACAGTTTTTTAGTACAAAAGTTAAATTTTTTATACTAAAAAGCTGCTTTAAGAAGCAGTAAGAAAGCCATCCCAAACGAAGCCTTAATCATTCTTTCCTCGCTTTCCACAATATGTTTTTTTAAATTCAATTCTCATATTCCTTTGATCATTTGCAGGATCGAAAGTCCATTCTCTGACGACAAAATACAAAAGAATATGGAAGTTGAGCAGGCCTGAAGATCAAACCAGGTGGAGCTAACAAATTAGGTATTGTTAGGTTAAGGAGATTTTTCTTATGGTTGTATTTGGACATATCAAAATTAGTTCATTGTTGGCTTTTTGACCCTGGTTTTTTCCTCTGTCTCTTTGAGGTAAGGATCCATTAGAGGAATCATTCATTTTGTTTTAATTGTAGCATAGCAAAAACTTCTTTTAATTTGTTAATGCTCAAGTCAAATATTTTTGGTCATGAATTTCATATGGAAACACATATTCTTCTTTCATGTTGGTCATATAGCTGGAATGTACATTCTGGTTATAGTTCTTAATTTGATAGACTATTCTTGTTCATTCAGTTTATTCTGTTAATTGCTATTATACATGAATCGGTTGTTGGTAATTAAACCAACACTTAACTACCTCTATGTATAAGAACCTCACTCAAATCTTAGGCTTCATTTGGAACAGTTTTTTGCCATAGCTTTTTCACTGCTTTCATGAAATTTTGTATTAAAAAGTTGCTTTAGAAAACTGTCCCAAATGAAGCCTTAAACTGTACAACAAAGCTCCAACACTTAGTTTTCATTTATTTTTAAAACTCTTGATAAGTTGGTCATGGCATGGACAGATGCATCAGTCTATTAATTTATTTTTTTGTCTAACGTGAGATACCTAAATAAGAAATTTTTCAATGGTATGATTATTATTTCCTCTCTTTTTTACCATCCTCAAATACAATCATGGTCCCGGAAGAAATTATTATGTGCGATCACCAGATCATCCGGAGGTTAATCAGGATGCGTCACGTCACCCGGTACACAGCAACACACAGTACCGATACACAACAACGAAGTGACCTGGCTTGTCCTGATTCGCCTCCTAGCGGCGTCCGGTGACCGCACATAATAATTTCTCTCATTCCAAGCTTTGGGTTGGTGGTGGTCCTCAGATGAGGGGTTGATTAAATTGATTGATATTGAAAAACCTGTATTGTATTCCTCAGCTTCCAGACAGTTCCATGTGGTTCATGGCCCTTTGCTTTGCTGTTTTTCTGCAGATAAGCCATCCAGCATTTGTTGCCAATAAAACAAAAAGTTATTTGGAAGAACTTTTCATTTTGAATTATTTGCACACAAATAATTCTATTCGAATCTCTGTATAGTTTCATGAATACAAAAGTGCCCAACAATGATGCTGAATTTCAGGCCATGTGATACCTGCAGCTGTCTTATTAGTAATTGGAAGAGACTGGGAATTGCTTGCTCGGCAGGTCGACTTGCCAAGTGGGAATCTATGAGCTTTAGCTTAAAAGAAAGGCAATGGACCGAACAGACAAGAAAGCTCATATACTGCTAGTGGGAACTTTAAAACCCTCAAGCTTCAACATGGGTTGTATTAATTATTAATTTATTATCTTTGTTAATTAAGCTAATTTACTGTAATAATTATTAATTAAGATCTATATAGTTATAAATATTGTTAATAATAGAATATCTTATTTCGGAAAAAATTAATAAATAATTAGTTGGTCTAATTAGCTCCTAATTTGCCAAATTATTCACTTAATCAATCAATCTACAGCCATTTAATTTAATTTTTTATCAAAATACCTAATTTGTTATTTTAAATTTTTTTTTAACTTTTTAATCATAATCATTACTAAATTAGTACTCTATTTTTTTAGTTTATTTATGATAGTCTAATTTAATCATTTTTTTCAACTAAACTATCATTGATAAGCATAGATAAAGTTTTAACCTTTATGAAGGATTTTATGTTTTTTATTTAATACTTTCTAAAGACACAAATCTATATTAGTTATTCCTCTTGATCTTAGGAGATAGCTATTGATTAAGATTGATCGCAGACTAATAAGATTCTAAAGTAAAATTAGTATGTAATGACTTCCCATTTTGGATAGGATGTAGCTCACAAGCAAAGGAGAGGGAGAGAGAGAAAGTGGAATCCCTATGATATATTGTTAAAAAATGGTAATTAATCAATCACCGACTTAGGCTTCATTTGGAATGGCTTTCTTGTTGCTTCTTTTTTTTTTTATAAAAATTAACAATTTTTTATTAAAAAATTATTTTAGATCCAATTAGTAGTAACAAGTCGTATAGCCCTAGGGTATCTTATTGATTGAAAATAAGTAACTTTTTAAATGGGCGAATTTTACGGCCAACCTTGATTATAGAAAGTTTCAGTCCCCATCAGGAAATTTTATTAGGTCCGGACACTTGACGTAGCTCTACATTCGGACGCCAATAAAATATCGCCACGTGCTCTTACTCTTTACCGCGCGGCCCGTCAACCCGACCCAGAACGGAAACCCGGTTTTGCTATGTTCGTGTATTGCTTGGTATTGCTAGGTATTGCTTGGCAATAATGAGAAATACCGCTCTGTCAAGACCAATACCGAGCAATACCAAGCAATACCTAACAAAACTGGGGTATTGCTATGTATTGCTCAGTATTGCTAGGTATTGGTCTTGACATAATGATATTTCTCATTACCGAGCAATACCGAGTAATACCGAGCAAAACCTAGCAATACCCTAGTCTGTACAAATCAGCTAATACATAGCAAAACCGGGTTCCGGTCCGGGTCGGGTCGTCAGGCCGTGCGGTAAAGAGTAAGAGCACGTGACGACATTTTATTTACGTCCGGATGTAGAGCTATGTCAGGTGTCCGGACCTAATAAAAATTCCCCCAACAGACATGTCACGTCTCACTAAGTACTCAATATAATCTTAGGGAACATATAGATATATTTAATGATGATATTATAGTTAAGAGGCGCATTTAGGCGTGATAACAAATATCTAGGGATTTTGAGATGTATCAATCATTATTAGAAAATTACAAATATATACGGACATTCATCTATTGCAAAGTGCTTTATATGGTGGGAGTTCTAAGAATTAGTGTTGGTATGTTTGTTTGGGCGGCATGACCATAGTCTGTGAGTGATGTAGTCGGTGAGCGACCATGGTCAAAAGAACTGTAGTCGGCAGGCGACAGTGGTCGGAAGGACCGTAGTCGACAGGAGACAGAGGTTAGAAGGACCAAGGTTGGCAATGGCGGTTGAAAGGACTGTGATCAGCTAGGGACGGAGGTCGAGGGGACTATAGTCGGCGGGTGACAGTGGTCGAAAGGACCGTAGTCGGCTGACGATGAAGGTAAGAAGGACAATAATTGGCGGGCAATGGAGGTCGAGAGGACTGTAATCAGCCGGCAACTAAGGTCGTGAGGATATTAGTCGGAGGGAGATGGAGCTCAGGAGGACTGTAATCGATGGAGATGGTTGTTGGAAGGAATCCAGACGGTGATCGATGAAACGAAAAAAATTCGGCGGTGGCCAGGAAGAACTCTCGCGGTGGTCGAGAAACTGAAGAAAGTCGGTAAAAACTCCGACGGTGGTCGACGAACGGGCAGAAGTTGGGAAGTGGTCGGGAAGAACTTCGATGGTGGTCGACGAACGGGCGGAAGCTAGGAAGAAATCTGGCGTTGATAGGGAAAAACTCTGACGGTGGTTAATGAACAGACGGAAGTTCGGCGGTGGTCGATGGTAAATCAGCTTCCAACTTCTTCCCTTCTCTTCATCTTTTTTTCATGTGAAGAATGGGGGCTATTATAATTTTTTGATAGTAACATGGATTATAAATATGAGGAGGATCAAGGCCAAAATGGGAGTGATTTGAATTGACAACTAATATTGATCCCCTTGATCATGGACTGTTTATTGGCCATTTGGATGTCTTAATGATATCAAAATTTGGTGATATTGAGCTCGTTGGATTCATCTCACCGAGCCGCTCTATTCGACTATAAGCATGCCACATTTAGAATTCATTTGGTAATCCAAATTATGGTTTGAACCTTCTAAAAGCGCTTTGAGTCTTCGATTTGGATCCATTCGAGCTCAAATCAAGTTGAACTTGGTGTTGTTGGGTTCGGCTTTTCGAGATGTTCAGTTCGACTATAAGTTTGCTGAAATTGGATTTTGGATGATCTCAAATTTGATTTCAGAAACTTTCAACTCAATGTTGCCTTTAGATTTGTTTCTGATTAAGATAATTTTTTTATAATATATCAACATTGATTTTGACAAAAAATCTAGCCCACAAAAATGGATAAAAGAGAACACATATTTAAAAATCTAGAAAAAGAAAAAAAAAAACATATGGCTAAACCCAGATGAAATAATTCACTATTTTAATATAGGTTATCAATATCTACTCTTCCTCTCAATTGGAGAAGCTATAATTACAAAATTTATAAAATAACACTAAATTAACCTCTTGTGGTTGTAGATGAAAAAGTTGGAGATTTGGTGAAAGGTGATGATAATAGTTAGATTATGATAGTTGGATATTTATGGTCAAACAATAATGTATGTGTGATTGGAGATCAGATGACAATAATTGGATAATTAAAGGTTGAACGTCGACAAACGCGCAATGACAATTTGAAGACTATGGTTCGCAGTTGGGTGAATATAACTGGGTAGTGATGGTCACATGATGGTGATCGAGAAGTGATGGTGAATCGATACTGGTTGGTTGGCAGCAGTTGTTGTTGTGGTCATTGTTGATGCTCGAGCACGACCATATAATGCTTTAAATCTCTAAGCCCTCTCCAATTGTAAATCATTGTATCTTTGATGTGTAGGATGAGATTTTCCTCATAGTTTTCAAAATTGACATTTTGATAAATGTATCCAAAATCCGAAAACACTCCTTGAGATGACCTTGTTGGCATCGTTATTTGTGCGAATGCTCTCGAGCGTGTTCGATCGAGTTGATTGACCCTCGTAGAGTCCAATTTGAGTCAAATCGATATCAATTTGAGTTTAATTATATTAAATTAATGCTGTCTAACCGCGTCAAACCTAAATAGATTTGATTTGAGTTAAATTGAGTCTGATTTTAACTTAAATCTGACCCAAATGAGTTCAAATTCAATGGCTCAAATTTAAACCTAGTTCACTTTCTATCAGTTTGAACTTCCTCCCCAAATCAGGAAATCGACGGCACCTAAATTCAAATTCTGAGCCATCGCTTTTAAGCTCCTCCGCCTCCTCCTCTCTCGTACGAGCTGAAGACCGCCGATCTTCCCTAGCCGATGCCGATCATCCCTCCTCAGTTTGCCTCTCTTGATCGCAAGCAGCACGAAGCCGAGGCCACTCCCCAGCTCCCCTCCTCGTCGGCTCGTGCGAATCACCCAGGCGGAAGCTCCCTTCCATTCGTCTCTCTCATTTGAAGGCTAGCCGACCTCGGCCTCTATTACGCCCGAACACTCGAGCTCGAGCAGCATCCGACTGCCGCCAGCCCCTAGCCCTATTTGAGCATTCTTGGACCTTCGACCCGCTCGACGGCATCCAGTCGGCCTTCCAGCCGCTTGCCATCTTGCAGCCGACCGACTCAGCCTTCGCCGACTTCCGACCACCTGCAGTCGGAGCCAAATAGCCGTCCAGCCGGACCTCCGTCAAGGTATATGCTAGTTTCATGTAAATCCTAATATTAATCTTTCAAATGAATAGTGTTTTGGAGTTAATCATTATGTGGATCGTGATGGATTTCAAATTAATTTGCTTATGAGGGTTCTGATCTTACATATAGGCAAACTTGCATGATTACACAAGCGATGATATCCATATATATACGCTATCTCAAGTTTGATTTTAGTTGCTAGGAAGACTTCAGTTGAATATATACATTGACATTGTGTATGCATTGATTAATTTGTCATATGGCCTTCATGTAAACCGGTATTGGTAACTAAACCTTGCGGACGTTTTACTGTCAAATGTATATCTTGGTCTATAGCCATGGATTTGAACTTGTGGGTTAGGCATTTTTGTTGCATTGCGTAACAGAAATCATTACCTAGCAATGTCATTTTTTTAAAATATAATTAATGTCTCAAATCATGTTCACTTCACCGTGACTATAGGGTAGTTAATGTGTTTACTTCACGGTGAGTATGGGCTAGTTCTGATTAGTCCCATTTATACATGAATAGCCTGAGTCAAAGTATGTAGAATTTATTTTATAACATAGATTGATAGTTAACTTTGCATAGTATAGTACCATGCATGATCAAACTTGATTACCATTTTCCTTTTGTGTCTCTCACCACTCTTGCATTTGCATAAGACTGGATTTGAGATACTAGGTGGAGTTGATGGTAAATCCATGTTGGGGTTGACGAGATCTTTAGTGGGGTTTAGGTTGTAATCCCCTTGTGGTGTCTTACATTAGTTAGACCATGAGTGTTAGTATTGAGTTTACGGTACATCTTTTATATATTTAGGATTAAAGACTGGTGGTATAGGTATATTGTTGTATGTCTGATCGTTGGGCAGGTTCTCCATTTTTCGGATGCTATAAATTTCACACATTCATGTCACATTGATGGTGTCATTTTCATCTTTCTCTCACGCATGCTTTGTATGTGGTGATTCTTCTCATGATTTTTCTTTTTTTCGACCGACCAAGTGACTATATGATCCTTGTATGCTAAATAGTCCGATTGAGCCCATCTTCACTTAAATTAGAAGAGCCTAGAATTACCTTTATGCTCCAAACCTAAAAGTGAATAAAATAGCATTCTTAATCAATAGTTTTCCTAGGTCAAGGCCTAGGATGTAATTAACCACGGGGGGCTTGTGCCCGTGGGGATCCGACACCCACATCAAATAAACTCCATTCGAGCTTATGTATCGAATGAGAGAAATCTCGTAACTATCGATTTGCTATTCTTCATGGATAATCATATATATAATTACATCTTCTTTCCCATTGACGTGCTTGTGTAGAGCGTAAAAGCCTACTACAATTTTGTCCTACGGGATAGTGTGACCATTTCATTTAGATTCTGATCCCTATTAGCAGCATCATTTCGAAGACCTACAAACCCATATCGATTTCTTATCATAAGCCATCCTTCCAATATATAAGTGTCTTAATGATCTCAGGATTGAATAATTTTGGTCTCTTTAGATTTCTTTCATCGAGATGCATATTTTGATTATATGCAAGCATGAATCAAATATCATTTGATCATTTAATTAATATCATAACATTTTAATTTACTTATTTGGGCCTATTAGGAGTTGTATCGAAACACTTTTAATGTCATTGGATTTGCTCATAACCACATTCAATTATACTATAAATTTGTTGAAGTTAAAGTATAAATAATCCTGAAATCATTCATGAAGTTTCTTGCAATAAGATATATACTTGATTAATATATTTTCTAGCCACGTTTTAAAATCAAATATTTTAATCATAATTATTTTGCAAATTAAGAATTGCAAGTATAACATATAAAATATATTTATTTATTAAACTAAACTTATGTCAATTTTTTAAAAAAATATTGAATTTATTTATTTGGACATGCCTTGATCAAATATTAAGAATTTGATTAAATCAATGGATGTAATTTTATTATGAATTTTGATATTTAAATAAAATTATAAACATAAAAATAAAAAACTATAGTTTAGATTTTGAGTGGAATTCCCCATCATAAATTAATCGTCCTAGTTATTGCCACGGGACGAATTTACGAGGATTTGTGCTAAAATTAATGTCACTCTAAATCCAACACAAAAATCCCATAAGTAAAACAATCGACTCTTCTACATTTCTTCTTTCAATAAACACTGGCTACACGTGTGATTTAATTTAGGGACGAATCCCCCTATTGCCGGGGAAATTATTCTGCGTTGAATCCGGATGAAAAGAATAGTCATGACATGTGAGTGAGTGTACATAGAGTTGTGCTCTGAACCAAAATATCAATTTTCTTCGTTGATTTCTGCTGCGTACTTCCTCCACGTTGTCTATTTTTACTGTTTGAAGATCGTAGTTGCTGATTTTTGTTGTTTGGAACTCAGATCCGTGAATAACAACAAAGAAGGTTGATGGGGAAGTGGAGCAAATCAAATATGGGATAGAGGAAAGGTTTTAACTCTAGAAAATCGGATGGAGAGCTCATTGGGAGGGATAGAAGAGATAAAAAAGAAGCTCATGGAGATGCAATCCAAAATCTCACCAACGGCTTCGATTGCTAACCCTCAACACGATTTGTCCGGGGTTCCCTTAGGAGATTGGATGAGAGGAGTTCAACGAGGTGAGTTTCTTCCATAAAGAACCACCCCCCGTGGCATCGAGAAGGGGCAGATCAGGGTTTCCGAATGAAGGGATAGCAGGGAGAGAGTTCTAAGATGGGATTTATGGAGGGGGGTGATAGGGTGACTGACCAGTATGGGATGTCGTTTGGGCAAGGGGAGTGGACTGCCGGAGAGGGAGGTGGACGAGGTAAGCCATTGGGATCGGTTCATGGGAGGCGGATAGAAGAAAGGTGGGATTGCCACCCTCGATACATAGGGGGAACTATATGTGGGAGAGGAAGTTGTGGTGGAGAAGCGAATGTGAGGAATTTGAAGATGCAGGTGCTCGAAGGGGAGAATGCTCATGGGTGGGTATATCGGGTGGAGATGTATTTTTTATACTATAGTTGATGCTACTGTAATTGATGTGTAAATGCCATCACTGATATGTTTAATTACTTGTGTGCGAGATGTTAAAATGCAGTTATTTTATTATTTATTATTTGGGTGGCTTGCAATAGATTTGTGGTGGAATTGCATAAGACATGGTTGAGAGAAATTTGTGACAGAATTAATCATCTTTATAGAAATTGTGACTAACTTGTGATGTATTTGCAACATATTAAAGTGAAGAATTTATCAGCTCATTATGTTACAAATATGCCGTAAATTTGTGAGGATCTGTAATTGGGCCCAACATATTGCTAAGGAACATTCATTACAATTTTGTGACAGATTTTTTCTTTAGCAAAAAATATTCTGAATGAATTTCTATTGCAAAACATAATCTGTGATGGATATTTCGTACTTCACGACAAATTATTTTCATTGAAAATCTGTTGTATTGTTGTAGTGGGTGGTAGTTGCGCCAATCATCGGAACCTGTCAATGCAGAGAAAGCCAATGTTGGTACTATATAGCAAGAAGATGGCTTCAAATAAAGGACTACTTGCCTCTTTTGTTGATTTGCAGGCTTGAGACACAGAATTTCTCATCTGTTCGAGACCTTTGTGGAGATTTATTATTTAAGGTACGCCATTGCCTCTGTTTTCATCATATTTTGAGATAGCATGCAACTAATGATTGACTGAGCTAAGATTTTGGGGCAAGCATTAGTATTAAATTAGTTCAAACATTTTAGCTGAATATATTTTTCTTTCTCTTCGACTATTTTAGCATCAGTAGCTTATTCGTATATGTTCTCTAAGATATAATTGCTTACCCCTTTTATAATTCTGAATTATCCATTACCTCTAGAATTATGTAAGAGAAAACTTGGGACTTTCTTGACAGAAATGGCTATTTCAGGAGGCATCAATATTGCTTGATTATGCCTTTAATTGCTTTTTATTTACTTTCAACAAAATGATTTTTCTCATTTTTTTCTCCATAAATAGTCTAATTATAATGTGCGCGCTAAATATTCATTCAAGTTATCAACTATTCTTCCATCTTATATTAACCAAATCTATAAGTCAAATCATATATATATATATATATATATATATATTTTTGACATTTGAGCCCTTAAGGCAAACTTATATACACATCACATATGCAAGCTTCGAACTCAAGACCTCTTGATTTATAGTGAAATCTTCCAACTAATAGATCAAGATGAGCTACATATTTAAGAGTCCAAAAAAGCAATTATGCATCACACATTAATTGGAAATCCAAGCCATCTTTGACCTTTACAGGAAGCTATCATGTTATTTTTCCAATACTTAATGACTCACTCATCCACAACCAAAATCCATTCATTTATCATGTCTCAACAGTCAACATAAACCCCACAAAAACCGTAAAACAAAGAGGCGTGATCCTTCTCCAATTATACTATATTTGATAAGTCATTGAGGTTTTGTATCACCTAAAAAACAACAAAATAGGTATTAATTTGACTAATTGCAGGAGCTCAGTAAGCACAATATTATGGAGCATAATAGGTCAACAAAGACAGCTCTAGTAAGACCAAAAGGCCTTTTATGACTCGAATATTCTGACCGGTGACCATTCGAATAAGGGAAAATGAGAAATAGGGGTTCAGTTTGATTTAGGCGTTTTTGCTTTCCATAAGCTTTTCCGACGGCCCGATTGCCAGAAATCCTTTCAGTTAAAACTTAAAACCAGATTAATGGCTTGCGTGCTAGCACTACTCTCCTTTTTCTGGCGGCAATTTTTGACAGAATTTATTGTTGAAATCTTTTTTACTTTTCTTATCGTGAAGGGATTGGCTTTTGTTACGCGCACTCTTTATTTATTTTGCCTTTAGTGCTCTAATCAAGATTTAAAATGAGTAGAGAAATAATTTATACCAAATGTAATAGTTTTGTTCTAAATATATGCTGAGAATTTTATCTAATGGTGTCAATATATGACATGACCTGGAAACCCTACTTAAAAATTTTGGGTTCGGATTGACTTCTTTAACAAAAGGGTCGGATTCGAGTTTAAGTTTTTTGACTTGATTGAAAATATGGTCGGGTTTAGGTTAACTCGTGAACCCAAATGCAACTTATTTGACATGTATGTCACTCACATCTTGACCGTTTGTCCCACTTCACACTTATCACGCTTCGTACCTGCGTACTCACTCTCTCCTGCTTGCTGCTCCCGGTCACTATCGCGCTCGTCTGCCCACTCTCAGTTCCCCTGTTAAACCTAACTGAGTTAGCTGGTCGGGTCGGGTTCAGGTTTGGCATATTAAGAGCAAGTCAATTTCAGGTGATATGAACTAGACCTGAAAACTTGTTTTGACACCCCTAATTATATCTCGAACAGAGAAGGGCGAACACCACCTTTAGAGGAAAAAGTGTTAGAATAATTTGATAAAATTTTGTAAGGATGAATAACAAAGACTTATATTTATTTCAAAATAATTTTAATAATTGTAAAATCATTTTGACCAAAATATATCTACCAAAAAAATTAGCCCCTCCCTTAGCCTTTCTCTTCTCCCTTTGGTTTCCTCTCAAATGTTTATTATTTTTCAAGGATATAGAAAGCAAATGTTTGATGACCTTCGTTTAGAAAAATTATAAACCCCTCAGCACGGGAGAGTACTCAACCCTGTTCAAGGGTGTAAACGAGCCGAGTCGAGTAGAATAGTGGCATTTTCGAGTTGAGCTCGTTTAATGAACTCATACTCGACTCGCTATATAAAATCAAAGCTCTAGCTCAGCTTGATACTCGATTTAAGGCTCATTTGTCTGAAACGTTGGCAATGGGAAGGGGAAGAAGAAGACGATGACGTTATTGTTGACATTACAAAGTGGGAAGAAGTGGTCGGTGGTCCATGGAAGATGCGCTAATTATTCTTAGTTTGCAGCTTTTTGTCTTTTTCGACTTAAATAGATGCTTTTTTTTTTTTTTTGAACAAAAAATTGTAGGCTTGTAGCTAGCATTTATTATGCTACAACTTCTTGAAGGTATAAACACCGAACCATGAACCTTAACATTTATTATGCTATAGCTTCCTTGATGGGCCTCCCGCCTTTTTCTAATGGTTCAATCATTTGAAATTCATTTATATTTAATTAAATTATAAGTATTTAAAAATATTCAAATAATCATTTGATTTTGCTCACGAGCTCGCGAGTCAAAACTAATTGAGCTTGAACTCGAGCTCATTTAACGAATGAGCTCGTGGCTCAATAAAGCTCTGCTCGTGAGCTCGTTATCGAGTCAAGTTTAAACTGGCTCGGCTTACTTACACCCCTAACCCGTTACTTATCATTCAATCTTGTTGCTTTTTAGCTAGTTTGACTCCCAATGAGCTTCATCTTTTTATTATTTTAAACGTTCAAAATAGCAAGAAACCTTTCAAGCTTTGCATTTTTTTTTTAATATATAACTTGGAACCATATTCTCAAATAATAAGATAAACGTTTCAAAATAGCAAGTAATTTTTTTTTTTTTAATTTGAAACCATGTGATCAAATTATTATATATAAAAAGATATTCAATTGGATTTGAATTTTGTGCGTGGGAGACATTCTTGCATTTCTCATAGGATTAGCTACGAAAAATAGAGAATTAGAGATCGAGAGGGCGGAGATTTCTAATTTCTTTAATGCTTGAAAATAAGTTACAGCGTGACAATTCGCTATCTTCTTAGGCTTGCCTTTTAACTCCTATTTATTAATAGGGGTAGAGATAATGCACGATAGAATATTTATATTAAAGTTAAATACATGAATTATATAATTTCGCATAACAAATGTTTGTCATAGTGTAGAGATACAAATGAAGTCTTTTCAAATAAGAAGAAGGCCCACATTAAGTTATTGGCTTACTTTGAATGTGTTGGCTGAGTTCTTGAAGTAGCTCCAAATGAGCATATCCAAGTAACTTCATGGCCGATTATTTTGAGGAGTTCACTATGACTCTGATGAGTATTAATATATCATCAAATAATTTTTATGCTCTGACATGAATCTCGAGGTAAATTTGAATTTTAAAACTTTTGAAAATAAATTCGGGACCATTTGAACTTTGATTTCAACAAATTTATAATCAAACTAAACGTTAAAAAAAATGAATCCAACGACACCAAATTTTGACCCAATCCGAGTCCAAATGTGTCCAAATCAAGGGCTCAAAGCACATTTAAAAGGTTCAAAATATAAATTAGATGATCAAATGATATCAAAATGTGACATGCTTATTATTGAATCGAATGGATTGAAGAGATGAATCTAATGAGCCTAAGATTGTTGAATTTCGCATCATTAAGACAATTAAATACACAAAACGGTCCATGATCAAAAGAGTCTATATCGGTCGTCCACTTGAAACTCCCAACACGTCATTGATTTTCTTCCTATTTACTGGTCACGTCACTTGATCTTCTTCCTTTTTCTTCACTGAAGGGGGACCAATTAATGATGAGAGAAAATGAAGAGAAATCAAAGAGTTGGATTTTTGCTATCACTCGACCACCGACCGGCCACTGACTATCATCGAACTTTCATTGAATTTTTGCTCGGCCACAAATTGTCTCTGGTCTTATGCCTCACCACTATTTGTCGTCGGATTTCCTCCCGATGCCACCAACCCTATCACATTACAGTCTTTCTAACCTCCGTTGCTCACCGCCTATGATCCTTCTAACCATCGTTAGTGACTACAGTCCTTCTGACCATTATCGCCCGACTATAAGTCTTCCGACCACTATCGCCTGACTATAAGTCTTCCGACCATTGCCACTTGACTACGATCTTTGTCACCCGACTACAGTCCTTCCAATCATCGTCACCCAACTACGATCTTTCTGACCTCCATCGCCCGTCGTATATGGTCCTTCCGACTACCGTCACCCAATTACGGTCGTTTTAATCAAGTCACCCGACTAGAGTCTTTCTGACCTTCATCGTCCGCCGACTATGGTCCTTCTAACCACCATTATCTGACTATAATCATTCCGACCATCGTCACCCGATTATGATCTTTCTGACCACCGTCACCTGACTATAGTCCTTCTGACCACCGTCGCTGGACTGTGGTCCTTCCAACTTACATCGCTCATCGACTTTGATCCTGTCGACCAAACGAAAATGTCAATACCGATTCTTCCAACTCCCACCATGTATTGCTACATCGAGCCAAGACCTTCCCCCCAAGAGAATGTCTCATTTGTAATCAACTGCAAACATTAGTGGATTCATTTAAACCGAGCAAGTTCTTGTGATTTTTTCTCATTTTCAGTGGATTTCATGTAAAAACTCTAGCATCTCATATGAACAATGCACTCTCACTTTCATTGATTGTGTGTTAGATCTTCATATAAAGCTAAGATGTTAAACTTTATATTTTTCTACCGCCGCAAATGTGCCAGGACGCAATAGTTTGACGCCGTCTATGGGAACATGATTCCTAATTGGGCAGAAACTTTTGCTCCAATTTCGAATGGTCGTTCACTTCAACCTCCTAGACATGATTGAAGCAACATTATCCCTTTGCCAAAATTTTATTATCAGATATAAAAGAAGCCTTTCACTATTATGGGCAACCTTATACATTATTTTATCGTGTCTCCAACATCAACCATGTCTAAGGTAATTATAATAAAAAAATAGATGAAAAATAATAAAGAACACATCAATACAAGAAAATGATATATAATTTTTAAACAATTTTAGTAGCTTCATATTTAAAATATTGAATGTTAATATATTTTAAAAATTATTTATACTTGTTGCGGGCTAGAATATACGCGGCGATAGAGTTGAAATACTTTCGTCTTAGCGTTGTACGAATATTCAGCACACAAACATGAAAGGAAATAACACCAGGATTTTTACGTGGAAAACCCGAAAGAGAGAAAAAACCACGGGGTCACGCCCAGTTGAAGTAATTCCACTAGTGTTTGTTTGAAGTACAAAGGCTGATTCGTCCCACAAGTTAGGATGATCAGATTATAAAGAGTTTCTCCTGAATTGAAATTCAGTTACAAAGTTATGCAGAATTTTGGCGTCTCCCGAATATCCGGCAGAATTCTGACGTATTCAGGCGGCGGAAAGAACTCTGACGGTGGTCGAGGAGGAGCTGATTCTCCTCCTTCTCTTCTTCTCTCTCTTGCTTCTTCTCTCTCTTGCTTGAGTCCCCCATCATTAGAAATGAGGGGTCTATTTATAATTTTTCTGGAGTGGCATAGCTCGTAAATAGGTGTGAGATCAAGGTCAAATAGGGAGTGGTCGAATGGGCGGCTGATATTGAATCCCTTATCGTGCACCGTTTGTCAGACATTTGAAGGCCTTGGTGATGTCGGAATTTGATGATCTTGGGCTCGTTGGATTCGTCTCGTCGAGCCATTTGATTCGACTATAAGCTCGTTAAAATTGGAGACCGTTTGGTAACTTAAATTGTGGTACGAGCTTTCCAACAGCATTTCGGGTGCTTGATTTCGGCTCATTTGGGCTCGGATCGAGTCGAATTTGGTGTCGTTGGGTTCATATTTCCGAGACGCTCAGTTTGACTATAAGCTCACTAAAATCGGAGTTCGGGAGCTCCCGGATTTAATTTTTTGAAGTTTTCGGTTCAGTTTTGCCTCGATATTCGTGCTTGATGAAGATAATTTTTTGAGGATATAACACTAATATTTTTTAAATGAACTAGCTCATTTAAAATGACTCAAATCAGAATTGACTGAGAATTTAACTCGTTTTTTAACTAAATCGAGCCACTCATTTGCACACTTAACCCTCCTAATTGAAATGAAAGTATAAATCCTTTCTGACCAGTGACCACTCCGCCCATTCAAAGGCAGCAAGTCCGCTTGCCCGGCCAACGCGGAGTAGAGTACTATATTCCTATTTCAGTCATACATAAAATATATTTCATAGTGGTGCGGGGCTCACCGACTTTCCCTCTCCTCACCATCTTACGCTACTTTCCACTTCAGTGGTCACCAGCTTCAACTTTTTCCCTTTTCTTTTCTCGAATCCCTTCATCGTAGCTTCCCTTCTCCTCTGTTAAACCGTCTCTATGAAATCCCGTCCATCCACGTGCTCCAATTCATTTCATTAAAGCTCTATTTATTTTACGCTCGTTGAACGCTGAAGTCTTATCTTCCCCCACATCGATCCATAGAATTTTATAAATAAACACAAAATTCTCTATTCTTCACCAATCAAAGTCTTAGCGCCCAGAAGAGCTTAAAGAATACTGTCTTCCAATCGTCTGTTAATGGGGTTTCCTGCAGGCGAGCAGCTGCTTTCGGAGATCGCCACCAATGGCGGTCATGGCGAGAAGTCATCCTACTTCGACGGGTGGAAGGCTTACGATGGAGATCCATACCATCCGACGGAGAACCCGGAAGGGGTCATCCAGATGGGTTTGGCTGAGAATCAGGTGAGCCGTGGTGTTCTTTAGGGTATCTCCAACTGAAAATCTCATTTTTTTACTCCAAAATATAATAAAACTAAAAAATGTCGTAATTCATCTCCAATCGAACTCCATTTTATACCTCCTTTTGCGATGGTAATGGTCTTTCTCTTCTTTCATGCGTTTCTTCGGAAAATTCGATAAAGACAAAAAAAAAAAAACAAAGATGAACTGTGCAACGCCAATATTGACGTCGCATTGTTCACCCGCAACCAAATAGCGGAAGTTTTACCATTTGGCTGGAACTCGCGAGCAACGTCATTCATGTGTTTGGAGTTCGGTTGGAGATGCCCTTAGAGTCAATGAAATGAGTCGAATCATACAGATACAGATCAAAAGGCAGAAGAAAGAAAAAAAAAATTTAAGCTTTGCTCTGCATTTTATATGTACATTGAATAGAGAAAGAATTCTTAGATGCTTAGAGCTATTTGGTCTTGTTTTCAACAGCTAAGCCATGACTTGCCAGAGGAATGGATGTGGAAGCACCCGGAGGCCTCCATTTGTACGCCGGAGGGGGTTGCACAGTTCAAAGCCGTCGCCAACTTTCAAGACTATCACGGCCTTCCACCTTTCAGACATGTAAGTAGCTTATCGTTTGTATATAGTTCCAAGAACTTGCAACAACATCTATACAAAGAGAGCTAATTCTATTTGTATATTATAATAATTAAGGTGTTCAACACCTAATGGATCTTCTGCCATTATTTTACAAGTGCACCTGTATTGGATTGAATGGAATGCATTTTGAAGATCTTGAGCTTGATTTCTGCATTGGGACAAACTAATAAGTTTATGGTAATCATGAAGGCAGTAGCTAAATTTGGTGTGTTATCATGCAGGGAGTAGCTAAATTGATGGAGAAAGAGAGAGGTGGGATGGTCAAATTCGACCCGGACCGAATAGTAATGAGCGGCGGAGCCACCGGTGCGCAAGAGACGCTCGCTTTCTGCCTCGCAAATCCCGGTGATGCCTTCCTCGTTCCCGTCCCTTATTATCCAGCGTGAGTTTTCTTACTTCTTCTTAAAGCTTCCCGTCCTTTTTGATTGCACTTTACCTTCCTCGTTTCCCCTTCTTCTTTCTGGTACACATTATTTTAAAATTAAAAAACTTCTTTAAAAAGTAGTAAAAAAGTCCTAGATTTTATCAAATTAATCCTAAATATCTCTAATGTAGAAATTGAAAGGAATTAAGATATAAAATTCATTTAAATTTAACACATTGATTATAAAAAACTAATTTTGTTTTATTTTTTTGTGATGATTAATTTTATATGATGGAAGAACTAAATAGAAGAAATATGATATTCTATAAGAAAGAAGCTGACAAAGAATCCACCTTTGCTTCAGATTCGACCGCGATTTCTGCTGGCGAAGCCGCGCACGGCTCCTTCCGATCACCTGCGACAGCTCCAACAACTTCAAACTCACCCCCTCCGCCCTCCAATCCGCCCTCGACGACGCCCGCATCGCAAACATACCCGTCAAAGGCGTCCTCATCACCAACCCTTCCAATCCCCTCGGCACGACGATGGACAGATCCACCCTCGAAACTCTCCTCCACTTCACCAACACCCACCGCCTCCACCTCATCTGCGACGAAATCTTCGCCGGCACCGTTTTCGACTCCCCCGCCTTCATCAGCATCTCCCAAATCCTCCTCTCCCATCCCGCCGCCGACCCCAATCTCGTCCACATCGTCTCCAGCCTCTCCAAAACCCTCGGCCTTCCCGGCTTCCGCGTCGGCCTCATCTACTCCTACAACGACGCCGTGGTCGCCACCGCCCGCAAGATGTCCAGTTTCAACCTCGTTTCCACGCAAACGCAGCACCTTCTCGCCGCGATGCTCGCCGACGACGATTTTGTGAGCAATTACTTGGAGGAGAACGCGAGGAGGCTTAGGGAGCGACGGGATTTGTTCGTCGGCGGGCTTGGTCGGGTAGGGATCCGGTGCTTGGAGGGCAATGGGGGCTTGTTTTGCTGGATGGATTTAGGGGCGTTTCTGAAGGAGAGGAGCACGGAAGGGGAGCTGAAGCTATGGAGAGCGATTGTACACGACGTGAAGCTTAACGTGTCGCCGGGGTCGTCGTTCCATTGCCAGGAGCCGGGTTGGTTTAGGGTTTGCTTCGCTAATATGGACGACGAGACGACGGAGGTGGCGCTGAGGAGGATAAGGATGTTTGTGGATAGGGAGAGTGTGGTAGAGAAGCAGCAGCAGAAGAAGATGAGGTTTATGAAGGATACTGGACTGAAGTTGAGCTTGCCGAGGAGGCTCGAGGAGTTGGCGGCGATGACTCCGCGCCTTCCGTCGCCTCACTCGCCCCTTGTGCGAGCCACTACTTGATCGATAGGGAAATTATTAGGTCCGGTCACCGGACCTATTTAACATCCGCTAAAAATTTGTACACGTCTGCAAAATTTTAAGTCAAGTGCGTCAAAAGCGCAGGTGAAGCACAATTAAAGCACAGTCAAAATACAATCAAAACACAGTTAAAACGCACAATCAAAGCTTCAGTCAAGGTGGCAAGTTTTTATTGGATGTCCGGACCTAAAAATAGGCCGGTGACCGGACCTAATAATTTGCCTGATCGATGGGCTTCGATGCTAGTCTAGATTAATTTATTTTTTCTTTTCATTGATTTGCTCAGTCTCATTTATGTAAAAATAAAATTTTGTTGGTTAAAAATGTCTGCATTTGTTTTTTCATGGAAATGTGTATTGATGGGGTAGCACATTTGCATGTTTATACTTATAACCTTGAGGTTGTAAGGGTTGATTGGTTGTATGGGGACTGGGCTTAGGAGATCTAATAAATTAGGTGATTTTGTTTTTTTATAATTTGATTATTTTATGTAATTTGAGTTACATATGAAATAAGAATAATACAAATTAATGTTTTAATTTTGATTGATTTGTTCTTTTATTTGTGTAAGTTGGCTTAAAACGTACTTATTGGTGCTTTTGATTTTTCCTTTGTAATGAAATTTCTCTCAATGAACATTAAGGAGATGTTTGGTTGGATGATACAAAAATGTAATTTAAATAAAATACAATATATTTAAAATGTTGAATTTTTTTAATGCTATAAAACAAATACAATTATTTTTTATTTGAGTTGAATTAAAATGAATATAGCATAAATCCCAATGATAATAACAACCAATGATAGAGAGCGATTATGGCAAGGGGCTGTAATGATAATAAACGGTGGCAATAATGGGGCAAATTATTGCGTCCAGTGTCCAGATTCGTTCTGACATCAATCTGGTGCCGCCACATCACCCAAATACACTGGGACCCAGTGTATATGGGTGATGTGGCGTCACTATATTGGATGTAGACGCAATAATTCGCCCAATAATGATGTCCAACAATTGTTAGTGATCAGTGATGGGCAACAGTAATTGAAGTTTTTTTTTTTTTTCTTTTTTTTTAACAGTAATCAAAGTTGAACAATGATATGGGCAACAAACAATGATCGAGAGTGAATTGTGGTGATGGCTTACAAAAACAATGATAAAAATTTTAATGCATTTAAAAATTGAGAAAACTAATGATTTTAAAAAATGTTAATATTAAACTTTAAATCTCTAATACAACATTTAAATACTTCAAAATTTCATTCTACATTTTTTTTTTAACCAAACATTAATATTTTTAAAACTCATATATTTGCAGTACCTTAGACCCCTTTAATTTCAAATCAAACAGACCTAAGAGCGTATTAATATTCAAGAGCTAATCTATTGAGACTACTGAGTACCACAATGCGGCTCATGCTAGTTATTTAAAATATACGTATAAATTTTAAAAAAAACAAATAAATAGTTACTTTTATATAGATTAAATCCATTTTTTATAAATATTCAGAACTACACCTGCTAACACATTTAACCCAATGAATTTTGTTAATTTTAAATAAAACCGATAAATCTGTTTGTCTAGTAATAAACATATAGGCTTAAATCATTATATTAAGCATATAATCAATTATGCTAGATTGAAGCTCAATTAGAACTGAATAACATAAAAAAAAACTAACTTGAACAAATTCGAAAATTTCTAAAAAAAAATAAATAAACGAGCTTAAATAATGGCAATCATGAATATAATTAGTTATTCTATCAGAAATGTCAAATCAACTTGAAATTTGCTGGAAAACTATACAGTGATTAAGGCTTCGTTTAGGACGGCTTTTTTATTGCTTTTTAAAACGAAGTTTTAATACAATTTTTTTTATTTTTGTATTAAAACTCCATTTTAGAAAGCATTAAAAAAGCCGTCTCAAATGAAGCCTAAAAATAGAGAAATGCTATTCAGACCGCAGAGAGGATCGTGATCAACAAGTAAACATTTCAACAAACTATAAATTTCCAATGCTAACACTGCTACATATGTGAGACAAAGGGTCCATTTGAGATGATTGTAACTTTTTATAATGATAGTTATAAAATTATTATGAGAGAATAGAACTTTTTTAAAAGCTGCTATTAAAAACATTTTTTGGCAAAAAATTTTCTTCAAGGAAAAAAAAATACTCAAATAAAAATTATGATTGCAATATGGAAATCAAATTAGTAAAAAAATTATTTCAAACGAAGCAAAAGTTAAGTTTAAAGAAGCTATTTGCAATTTGTTGCATAATCTACACTTCTATACCACATGTAATCAGAGATTCTACAAAATAATTCAACTATGAAATTTTTGTGATGAACAAACAAGAGAACATAATATATCAAAAGACAACAACTTAATTCACTTAGGCTTCGTTTGGGACAACTTTTTTGTTGTTTCCTAAAGCAACTATTTAGTACAAAAAGGAAAATTTTTATACTAAAAAGTTGCTTTGAGAAGTAATAAAAAAGCCGTCCCAAACGAAGCCTTAGTCTATATAATCGCGTTGCAAAGAGATGAAGCAGATAAGCAGTTTGACTTTTCCAGCAGGTCAAATGTTCAAAACAAGTTTGCAGGTCATACAAATCTATAGTAATAATGAAAAGACGCACTTGGTGAGAAGTTTAACTGGAAAACAAAAACACAAATGGATACCAAAATATAATAAATAAACATACGACAAGAAGAAAAAGCAAATAGAAACTAACTTACTGGTTCCAGACTTCGAATTAAAAGTAAATCTTCTAACACTTGTACAAATCCATGCCAAACACTTTCGGAATAAAAGCAGGCTAATTAAGTCAATTTCCCAAACAGGGACTTGGGCCTCTCACATCTAGAAAAGGTTGGGCAATTCTAACTAACAACGTTAACCTTTGTGCTTAAAAAGCAAAAATTACCACAAGGAAAATTAGCCGAGCCATCGAGCAACACCATCTTCTTCATCTACAACAGCAACTATTTCGATGCAAACATCCAGTACAACCTGCAATCATTTCATGAAACTAGATTTTAGATCAAACATTCTTACAAAATCTACTGGTAGGGAAATTGTGCACTCTTATTCATAAATCATTCAAGCATGTTATTCCATCCTAACTGATCCCAACAAATAAGATTCAAAGTTGGATAAAAATGTCCAGCAAAAACATTCATCTACAAAATTTACACGAGGATCCCAACTATTGCTTGCAAAGAGGTTGCTTAACTCAAAACCTGCAGGTCACAATAGGAACAAACTAACAACTACACATAATTTTGCACTCTACCGCATATCTCAAGTATAAATACTAACGTTCAATTTTTTAAAATAAGCTGATGTTTTACTTTGAAATTTTTTAAAATATATATCAAAATGCATAATCACATCAATGATAAAGTAAACTACTTAATGATAATCCAATTGTGATCTACATTATCAATATAGGAAGCGACCAGAGTAGAATTGCAGGGTACATAGATTAAAACCCTACAGCTAATGGTACTTTGTTTTAATGCTATGATTGTAGAGGAAAATGACGAGTAAACAATTTTATAACAATGTAAAGAAGATGATAATCTAACCAAGTCTCCATAAATAAAAAAAATATAAAAGAAATATGGGAAACAAATGCAAAATCTCAGCTATTCAAAAATGACGTTGCAATTGGAAGTAACATTGAGTGAGACCTCACAAGAAAATCAATTCTTTGTTCTTCATTATTTTTTTTTTTTTTTACTTAACGGAGAAAAAACAAGAGAGACAGACAAAATGTAGTTTGCATTGAAGTGCATGGCGCCCTCAGTAACCATACAGTAAACCACACTCTCAATAGAGAATTAGGCTTCGTTTGGGACGACTTTCTTTCTGCTTCTTAAAGCAGCTTTCTAGTAAAAAAATTTTTAATTTTGTACCAAAAAGATGCTTCAAGAAGCAGAAAGAAAGTCATCCCAAATGAAGCCATGATCAAGAAGGAATGTACTCACCAACGGGTTTCTACAATTGACAAGCCTACAATCTTCGAGCAAAGAGCCTTCCAACATCCAACTCTCCCACACATCAAAGTTGTAACTTGCAAACACAAATTCCATTCTTCGATTTATCTGTCACCAAACAGTGAAGAGAGTCATGCATATAGGAATAATCAAATTCAACAGATATTGTTATCATAAAGTATCGAATCATGCCGCACAATCAACCCAAAGCAGATTTTTACCATACAAGGCTTTTCCAACAAAATTTGCCATTTTATGGCTACACACAAAGATGCTGATTTAGGTTTGCAGCTTCAACTTAAGTTAATCTTACTCCAAGGAAACATATATTGCTGATCAAAACAAAAAAGTGATCCAAAATGATAAATTATAACACATATCTTTACATTTGAACCTTGGATCAACTGATCGAAATTTATGCTAATTGCAAATGCAAAAAAATAATCATCTTAAAATAAAATTGGAAAACTTGAAAGATGAAAAATATTGTTAATATTTTTGTAAACACCTAAATTTGACTCATGCGAAAAAGAGAAAGAGAGAGCTCAGTCAGAAAGTTACATAAAAAGATTGAATTTATGATTTTAAAGAGACACAAAGGACATAGGAGGAAAAAAATTATTTTGTTCAAACCCTCCATATATTTAAAATATGATAGGTTCTTTAATTAATACATGACTATATAAAATTTAATTTTGATTTGACTTGAAATCAATAAGTTGAGTTGGCTTGATTCGAAAAGGATTATACATCGAGTCAACATACATGGAATTGAATTTTTTTTTTTATTCAGGTCGATTCAAACTCATTCGAATTTGACTTGATATCAACCTAAATGAGTTTGACTTGATATCAACCTCATTAATGATATTTATTTTTTTTGTGCAAAAATTATTTTAGAAGTACAAAATTTGAATTTATAAAAGTTAGTTTCCCATGAAATTTCAGTGTCTCCTTACATAAGAAGTGTTTCATATAACTCAATTATATCATAACCCAATTTTTAAAGAGGTTCAGTAGTTCCAAAATCAAAATTCACAGCATATATATATATATATATAATGCAATGTTTAAGTATAAACATGATTATTTATAAGCATAACTATACATTCGTCTTCAATGCCCAACAATTGCTAGTAGGCTCATTACCCTATAGTAGAGTGAAAAATTACATAAGATTTAATGAGTCTCAAGAGTCAATGTTGGAAATTTGGAAGTATGCACAAAATAGTGTGAATTTTATGTGTTGCAACGAGCAAATTAGTAACCTAAAATTTATTTTAACATTTTTTTATTTTTATTTTTCACTTGCTTATTTATGTAGGGCATGCCTAAAAAATGACAAAAAATATGATGCCTTCTGAAATCTTGTCATGTTGACTTTTCGGGTTTAGTTCACTTTTGAAATTTGATTTGACTTAATGGTAATTGCTACTTTGATAGTAATCTTATGGGTAAATTCGTTGGATTTATATAACGACACATATTGTATGGATAAGTATTTATTTTTCTCATGTACTTAGAGCTGCTAATAAATGGGCAGTGCCTATAGACATAGAACGATTACCTACTTCCACTTGTGTTACATACAAATCTCTAATTTTTTGCTTGTCCTTGCGTAGTCCTATTTTCCATAAATCATCCATTATCTTTCAATTGTATGCTGAGCCTTTTGCCATATATGCACCATAGAGAATCTCTTGACCATCTTTGTTGAGTTTGACCGCTTGTGTTTCCTAAGATAAGAAAGTTTTGAATAAAAGTGCAAGATTGAATAAGTGTTTAATGTCGGTAGCCTTCGTCACTAAGGCCAAACCTTCCATAAGGTTTATCAGTAATCCTAACTCCGCTCTCCCTTATTTGAATGATAGCAATAGTTTCATTTAGTGGAGATAATTCATCCTTATTGAGAATATGCAACCTTACAGTATCAAACTCAATATTTAATCAAGAAAGACAATCATAACTCGATCTTTTTCAACAAATCTATTAAGAAGGGCTGAATCTTTGTTGCATTCAATTTAGATGCATTGATAACAATTCATCTTAGATTTATAGTGAATTGTAGTATTATGTTATGGGCAATCCTCCTTGCTTTATGGATGAGATCATGATGATAATCTCATAGATTGGGTTCACAAGTTCGAGTCCAAATTATGTTGTCCTTTGAGTTCAATCAAGTCCAAGTATAGTCTTACGTTCACCCGAAATTTCAGCAGCCTCCCGGCGTCTCCCCTTTTAGGAAAAACTACAGGAAAATGGGCCTCCCGCCACGCTATAGAAAAGCGGTAGGTGTCCTTGGACACCGCGGCTGTGAAATCTTCAATCCCACCACGCCAGAGAAAGGCGTGTATAAGTCTTCTGCACCAATTTTAGAAGAAAAAGTGAAAAACAATTGTTTCCCCGCAGGTACAGAACCGCGTACGGGTACTTAAGATTGTCCCCACCATGCTACAAGAGCGTGTATAGGGCCTACCTGCCTCGTTGTAGGTGTCGCATCGGGTTCCCTTCCCACCACGGTAGAGAAAAACATATATGGGCGATTTTCCGGCTCGACACGAACGTCAAATGCGAGGTTTTAAGTTTAGGGAGTCATACCTGCGACCGGTGAGGTGTTGGCACGCAAATCAAGGCAAGAGACATTTTTTACCTCTTTTTTCTAAAACATATCTCTTTATTTTTTTTAGGAATGCTTCCCCTCTCTTCTTTGTGTGTGTGTGTGTCTATCTATCAGTCTATGTGATGCGAACATCCGACGGTGGACGTTACTCAATGGAAGAGACGAAGATCAATGGCCGAGATCACTCCTTTTTACCTTTGTTTATTAATGTATTTTGATTTAATTTTACATTTCTCATTTTTACCCTTATTTAAAATTCTTGTCTTATGTAAGCCCAATGGTCAAAGTTGTCTTTTTTAATTTATATTATTTTTAGGCCTATATATAGAGAGGTCTTTGATCTTGTATTAGTATGATGGAGTTTTAATAAAAAAAATTGTTCTGCACATTTGTTCTTTGGGAGGACGTTAGTGAGAATCCCTATGGAGGGAATTGTAATTTCCACCAGCCGCAGGATGGGTCTGAGCTCGTGGCTTGAAGTCCTTGATGAAGAGCAATGCATCACCCATTAGTCTTCGGAAGAGTCTAAGGCTCACGGTTCTATCTTTTTTTTTCTTCTTCTCTTTGTTTTGTTTTTCCTTATTTCCCTAAACTGCCACCTCATCAAGCCCTCCACCAAGGCGCTGATTTTCTCACCCCATCACCTCTCCACCACAAGTTGTCGTTTCTCCTCCCCACACCCCCACCCCAACCGCCGGCTAGCCCAATCCCAAAACCCACCGCCACCTAACCCTAGTACAAACCTCCAAATTGCCGGCCACACCACCCCCTTCCCTTGGATCTAAATTTTCATAGCCTTCATTACTTTCCTAAAATTAATCATGGTAAGTTAGGGAAGATAATCAATTCAATTTTGAATCAATTTTAAATTTGAATTTTTTTCTAATTTAACCTTAATTATATTTGGAATGTTTCTAAATCAAGTCAATTTATTTTTGAATTTAAATTGAAAAAGATATGAGTAATAAATCACCTTTAATTTAATTGATCTTATTTAGGAAACCATTTGAAACCTTCCCTACCTCTCTCCTCCCATTAATTCTTCCCCACTATTACTCCCAATTAAACCCTTTTCTAATTTAGCTCACTTTAATTTTGGATACTATTTAAATTCATACTCATTTGAATTTGAATTTAAATTTTACTTCCTAAATGAGGAAACCTTTTTAAGGAAGTCCCCTCAAATCATGCTCATTTGACTTTTAATTAGGATTTAAATCAAAATATTTCCTTAATTAAAATTCATATGTGGGCAAGTCTTTAATTCCTCAAATCAATGTCCCCATCTTTTTGCTTAGCCCCCTCTGTTCTACATCAGTTTGGTATCAGAGCATGGTTGCTCAGGGTGCGAACTCGACGGAGTCGAGCTCTTTTCCACCCCGGGAGAATGATACGGGAATCCGACGGTAGACGTTACTCAATGGAAGAGACGAAGATCAACGGCCGAGATCACTCCTTTTTATCTTTGTTTGTTAATTGTATTTTGATTTAATTTTGCATTTCTCATTTTTACCCTTATTTAAAAGTCTTGTCTTATGTAAGCCCAAGAGGCAAAGTTGTCTTTTTTTAATTTCTTTTGTTTATAGGCCTATATATAAAGAGGTCTTTGCTCTTGTATTAGTATGATGAAGTTATAATAAAATAAATTGTTATGCACTTTTGTTCTTTGGGAGGACATTAGTGAGAATCCCTATGGATGGAATCATAATTTCCACCAGACGCATGATGGGTATGGGCTCGTGGCTTGAAGTCCCTTGGTGAAGGTCAACGCATCACCCATTAGTCTTCGGAAGAGTCCAAGGCTCACAGTTCTATCTTTTTTTTCTTCTTCTCTTTGTTTTGTCCACCTCTTCGAGCCCTCCACCAAGGCGTCGATTTTCTCACCCCATCACCTCTCCACAAGTTGTCGTTTCTCCTCCCCACACCCCTACTCCAACCGCCGGTTAGCCCAATCCCAAAACCCACCACCACCTAACCCTAGCACAAACCTCCAAATCGCCGGCCACACCACCCCCTCCCCTTGGATCTAAATTTTCATAGCTTTCATTCTTTCCTAAAATTAATCATGGTAAATTTGGGAAAATAATCAATTTCAACTTTGAATTCTTTCCTAATTTAACCTGAATTATATTTAGAAAGTTTATAAATCAAGTCAAATTATTTTTGAATTTAAATTGAAAGAGATATGAGTAATAAATCACCTTTAATTTAATTAATCTTATTTAGGAAACCATTTGAAATCTCCCCTACCTCTCTCCTCCCATTAATTCTTCCCCACTATTGCTCCCAATTAAACCCCTTCCTAATTTAGCTTCCTTTAATTTTAGACGCAATTTAAATTCATACTCATTTGAATTTGAAATTGAATTTTACTTCCTAGATGAGGAAACCTATTTAAGAAGTCCCCTCAAACCATGCTCATTTGACTTTTAATTAGGATTTAATTCAAAACCTTTCCTTAATTAAAATTCATATATGGGCAAGTCTTTAATTCTTCAAATCAATGTTCCTCATCTTTTTGCTTGGCCCCCTCCGTTCTACATCAATAATATTAATATAAACTAATTTTATTAATAATCATAACTGATATTATTATAAAAAAGATAACCTAATCACTACCTCTATGAGATCAGACAAAGAGGCACGGCTTGAGCTTGGGTCGTGGCTTGTGGAGATCGGAGGAAGATAGGGAGCTCTCTCTCTCTCTCTCTCTCTCTCTCTCTCTCTCTCTCTCTCTCTCTCTGGATTGAAGGAATCAAATGGGGTATTCGACTGGGTTCGGTCGCAGAAGGCTAGGGCAGGTGTCAGACAAGGCGAAAGTGGAGCTCGGTCTTAGAGGGAGGAGGCGACGGAGCTGGGTTTGCTAGAGTCATCTTTGACAGATAAGGGAGGTTGGATGACTTCGGTGAGTGGAAGGTAGGTGCCGGGCCTTCCGGCTTGGTGTTGGTTCGACGGAAGGAGACGTATGGAAGAGGCGAAGAAGGTTGGATGTGTGTGAGAACTACGGGGAGTTCTACTGTGGAGTCGGAAGAAGCTTGCAGGATTTTGAGTGCGAGAAGAAGAGAAGCAGAGGAAGAGTTCGACTGGTTTGTGTGGGAGGAGCGGAAGTTTCATCTCATCGTCATATTTAACGACTCGAACAATTGAATGGATATCTGCATGCGGCAATGGGATCGAGACCTGCTGCGCGTAGTCGGCTCTGAACTGCGCCGAATAGCAAGATATGATACTGTAGCAGGCGGCAGATTTGACAGGGATTTGGACAGGATTTCGGTATGGGTTTGATTGATAGCATATTACAATTGATGAGCATTTGAATGACTTCACAAAGCCATTGAAAGATCTTTTGAATATGGACGAGGCGCTCCTGTTAAATTAGCTCCTAGATGATTACGAAAACTTCACAATAACACTCATCCATGAGGAGGACTTGAACTATGGTGAGTGACTACTGTGTTGCTGAATCATGAGTTTCGATGACAGGATAAGGAGTCTGCAAAGATGGATTCAGTTGAGGCTCTCACACTCCAACAAGGAAGATAAAAGAAACAGAAGAATAAAAGGAGCGACAGCATCAAGTGGGGCAAGTCTAGCGGACGCAGTCTTAAAAAGAATTAGTGTGCTTTTTGTTGGGAGGCTGGTCATGGAAAGAAAAATTGTTCAAAATTGAAGGAGAAGGAAAAGGGAGTTTCCACTAAGACAAATTTTAGCATGGAAGAGCGTGACGAATATTCAGATGTATCACTATATGTAGTCTCTCAGAGTTTGTATTCAAATGGTTCATGCTAGATTATGGATACTGGTTCTACCTATCACATTTTTTCCACCAAAGAATGAATATGTACCTACAGGGAACTTGATAGTGGTGTTGTGGCCATGAGAAATAACCAGGCTTGTCGTACAGTTGGTGTATGGAGCATCTTCATCAGAATGAACGATGGTACTGTGAGAGAGCTGACTGATATGGAACAATTTCTAGATATTTATTTATTTATTTTAATCAAGTTCTAGATATCATAAAGAATTGTTGTTTGTTAGGGATTTAAAAACCAAGGGCTACAAGATAGTCATTGAGGCAAGAGTTCTGAAGATATATCATGGAGCATTGATTTTTCTTAAAAGAGTTTGTCACCACAACCTTCACTACCTTCAGGGAAGAACAGTGATTGGAGTAACTGTTGTTGTTGATGATTCTTCTGATGTCATTGCGTTGTGATACATGCGGCTATCTTATACCGAAGAGGCTTCTCTTATGGCTTTCGTGAATCAAGGATTGATTAAAGGAGCAAGCACCTTCAAACTCGATCTTTGTGAACATTGTGTGTTTCGCAAGAAGACACATGCATCCTTTGGTGCTGCCATGTTGGAGCATGTTCACACATATGTTTAAGGCCCGACAAAGACAACATCATTCGGCGGAGGGCGATACTTTGTCTATTTTGTTCACAATTACTCTATATATGTTTGGGTATACACCATGAGGCACAAGAGCGAGATACTGGAGATTTTCAGTACTTGGCAGAAGTGGATTGAAACTCAGACTATCAAAAGGATCCGGTGTATCAGATCAGATAATGGGGGAGAATACTCTTCAAATGCATTCTTGTAGGAGTGTCAGAGATCTGGGATAGAGCATCACTTCATAGTTCGAGAGACACCGCAGTAGAACGGGGCGACAGAGAGGATGAACCAGACTTTCGTAGAGAAGGTTCGGTGTATGTTATCCAATGTTGGGTTGGATAGAGTTTATTGGACTGAAGCAATAAACTATGCATGTCACTTGGTGAACCGTCTGTCTTCTACGGCTTTGGGGAAGAAGACCCCAAAGGAGATGTGGTCAGGGCATCATGTTAGAGATTATGAGCACTTGAGAGTATTTGGGTGTCCAGCTTATTATCATGTTCAAAATGATAAACTGGAACCGCGTGCAAAGAATGAGATCTTTATTGGCTTCAGGCCTGGAGTCAAGGGAATCAAACTCTATGATTCAGTAGAGAAGAAGATTATCATCAGCAGGGATGTTACTTTCGATGAGGCTAGCATGATGAAGCTTTTGGACCCTAAGCAAGTAGAGAGTTCCATTGGGACCACAGATGCGTTGTATAAGTTGGAGTTTGATGCAACTCCATTTGCTCCACAGAGGCAGATCATTTCTACCCAGGTACCTAATTCAGCTACAATTTGGGAGGGAAAAGATGATATTGAGGAGATTCCTGCTTAGAAATACACTGCTCAGAAATATAATGCAAGAAAGAAGGCAAGGCGCCAGAATGTCTCAAGACCAGTTTAGTTGAGGGATCACTTTGCATTTGCAGTTTTATCCAAGGCTGAAGTTCCTAGTCACTAAAAGGAAGCGGTGGACAGTCCTGTTTGTGATATATATGGGGCTATTGGGAGCAAATGGATGCATGCAAAGAAAGAAGGATCTCATGGAGCTAATGTGCAATACAAGGCTAGGTTGGTGGCAAAAGACTCTGCACAATGGGAAAGAATTGCTTATGATGAGGTGTTCTCCCTAGAGGTTAAGAATCCCTCGACTCGTGGTTACTTGACACTTGTAGCACAATATGGTCTGATTTTGGAGCAGCTCGATCCAGACATTGAAGTTGACGTTGTGAGCAGGTTCATACATGATACATGGAGTCATTGACAAGTTGTGAAGAGGATTCCTGAGATATCTTAAGGGTACAGTTTATGGCTTGGAGATGCAGTCACCACGATAATGGTGCAAGACTCATGATTGATTGTCCACATTTTGAAGAACTACGCTTGGCTTGATCCCTTAGAAGGGGGTACGTAGGCAATCCCTTGGAGATGCAGTCATTCTGATATTAAAGCCTAATTTGTCATCTTTCAGTTCCTGAAATGAAAGAGGTGAAGATTGTTGATTTGGATTTATTTCCAAATCATAATAAAGCTTTATTTGTAAAGCTTTAAATGGCTCATTGATTAGGGAATGAATTCTTCCTAATTAAGTTGATTTGATTGGAGATTTGATTGATGCATTAATTAAGAGATCTAATTATTGCATTAAATAGGAATTTTATTGGAGATTTGATCGGTGCATTAATTAGGGAATCTGATTATTGCATAAATTGGGTGATTTAATAAGCACAATTGGGAGATGTAATTTGCATGATTAGATTTTGCCATATTATAGCATTAATTAAAATTTCCTTTATAGTTTTGTTTCAAATCTTTAAATAAGGCTTGAGAGCTATTATATTGTATGCATCGATGCATTAGAAAATGAGAGGAAGAGAGAGCTCACTGTAATTCTTATTGTTCTCCAATATAGTGAAATCATCATCCCCTCCCCGTGGACGTAGGCATCTTCCCCAAACCACATAAATCGCCGTGTTTATTGTCTTTGTATTGTGTGATTTCCGTGATTTTATTTTCGCTGTATGACTGTTTGCACAACACACAAAACAAGGGAGCATGGGTATTATTGTGATTCATGGGACAAAAATTGTGGCAGTAATTAATTGCAAAAAGATAGAATGATAGAAGACTACAATGTTGGAGGTTAATTATGAGACAATTATGCAGAAGAAAGAGAACATCAACAATGATGATTGGAAGATCTTGGCAATATATCCATGCATGGTTATGGATATGCAATGAAGAGAAAATCCCAAATCTTTGATACCATGACAAGAATTGGTTGAGTTTCAGTTTAACATTTGTCCAGTATTTACACAATCCTATGAATACTTCAAATAGAAAATAAATCAGAGATTTAAAGTAATGATACAATTAAATATAATAGGATAGAATATATGGATTAATGAAGTGACATCCACGATCATTGAGGCTTGGCCAGCTGGGGAGGAACAGCGAACAGAGGACGAAGTCACAATGTGAGACTTGTCCAGCTGGGTGGATAGCCAGCGGAGGGGTTGGTTGGGAGGTGTGATGAATGGGGCAGCTTTCAAGGACAGATTTTAGGAATAATTTCAAGGGAATTTTCTACAATAAGCTATAAACTAAATGGTCCAAGAACAGCAGAAAAAGCTAACAAATGCAAAAAAATTGTCCAAAAGGGAGCAGTTCGACTGTCATATCTTTTTTTAAATCTTAAAGATGAAATTAATAGGACTGGTTCATGAATAAGAACCAAGACCACTAAGCACTCCAACGACGTATAAGATGCACAATAAAACATAGCAAATGCAATTCATCTAATCTTTGAACCTAATTTTAATAACAAACATTCAAACTAATGAAACAATAGAGACATTAAACTTTGAGATGCCAGAATTATGAATCGGCCTTTTGCAGTTATTGCCAACATCTCCAAATTTGTCACATCTTCTGATGCTATATTTTAAAAAAAACGGATGAGTAGAATTTCTTTAAAAAAATTATCATACCTGTAGCAGTTTTCCACCAGCTGCAAAAGATCGCAACCCTAGCACGTCCTAAGTTAAAAAAAAAAAAGGATAAAAAAGAAGGCTTAATAGATCATCTAAAGAATTGATGTTTTACTGAGGAATTCAAAACATGGCACAAAGGAAAATTCAATAGCATACCTTGCTTTTAAAAGAAACCAGGAATTGAACAGCAGGATCCCTTTTGGTTACATTGGAAAATGTATCCAAGAACCATCCACCACCAGGTACTCTTTGTCTAGACACGTAAAACCCAGTACGCTCTCTAGTATGTAAAGCAATAACAAAACCATCTTTCAAAAGTTCAACACATTTTCTATTAAGTCCTTCACTTATCGTTTCTGGTTTCCGTGAAGATGATTCCATATTTGATTCAAGAAGGCAAATTTGCTTGCTTTTAGAATCATCCGGAGAAGCAAATCGAGAACTTTGCTCCATACCACTGATAGCAGTATCATCTTCTTGTTGAGAGCTATAGCTACCTTCTACTCCTGAAAAATCATGTGATTTCTGCTGGGAACTCTGGCGTGCACGCCTCTTCTTGGCCTTCTTGCTGGACCTACTATGTCTTCTATCTGACCTTGTAACAGTATTTTGAGGCAGGCCTGAAACTTTAGACTCTTTGGACTGACTGGTCCTCAGTTCCTGATCAGATCCAGCACAGAATTTACTTGCATCTGCCGTCTGCTCTGAATCAAAAGGATGAGATGAATTATCTCTTACCAGGTTCTCCACTTGGTCACCTTCATATGCTATCCCACTATTTTCTTCACCTTCATCAGATATATCATTATTTGGAATCACGCTATCAAGAAAGAAAGCTTGCAACATAGAGATAGCTTTCTCCCTGATTTCCATCCAAACTTCTTCACTATAATCAGCACTCCTAGGGAGAATTAATACATTTGGCATCTCTCTGACCTGTCGCAAAACATAATAACTAAGTCTTCTCCCTGAAACTATAGTTGATAGCACAAGGAGCCCAAATAAAATATGGTAGACGCTGTTAACAAGTTTATTACCGCATAAAATACACCGATTCAAAGCACATGCAAAATCCACCTACATACTGAATCCTACACTATCATACCGAGGCGCATAAGCATCAAATGAAAGAAGAAAACTGAAGAAGCTATGCCACTTAGAAGACTATCGTTCATCCAAAAAAGAAACGGGCTAAAAAAGGATCAATAAATTAAAAAATATGCCTAATGAATCTAATCCCAGGTTAAAATCAAGCTATTCTGTATTGGCTCTCATTAAATTAAACTGCCTTGAGAAGTTTCCGTAAATGAACATAAAATTATTACAACTTTTCTTATATACTAACAAATTTCTTTGTACATATTAAGACATACGGTAAGTAAAATTCAGTTTAGTAAGGAATTAGTAAAAAAGTTGCGGGCTCTGAAAATTTGCAAACAAATCTTTTATAAAAGTGTGGTTGTGCTGCCTAAAAATTTTGTACTCATTTTATGAGGACTTTATTATCTGATTAAAGATTTCTTATAAGTGCAAACCACTATAATTAGTTATCCCTCAGAGTAATAAGAGAGAACTTTTAATTAAAATTAGTCCACATGCTCTAAATATTTAGTTTATAGTTGTTGTGATTTGGTTAGGACATAAGAAATATATTTTCATTAATTTAAAACAGATGGTGGGAGAATGATGAAGAATCTGATCCAGATCCCATCATTGTCTCATCCTGAGCTCTCATGAACCCTTACTCTGCTTAGTCAACGTAGATAGTTGACCCAACCCGACCAAAGGATTATTGTCAATAATTATGGGTTGCATCACGCAAGAAGATCTTGTAACACTGAGGAGAATGTTTGCCTAAGGGGTCAACTTAAAGTTGATCCCAAGTAATAAATAGCGTTGTGCCCCATCAAATGAACAATATGATTTATAACTTAGGGGGCTAATCCATGGAAAACTTTCGGACTTCAGTCATAATTATAATTTAATGGTTTTATTTTTCAATAAATCACCCAATAAAATGGCCTTAGTCATAGATGTGTTCCATTTTATGGCATACCATTGAGTAAGAGAACACGTTAGCTAGTGTGAGATTTATGAGCGTGATCATAGAGATATGCTTGATATAACATTGGCTCTTTATGAGCATGGACTATCTTAAATTTATCATCTCAAGCAAATTGATGTGGATAATGGATTTTGCTTTACCATTTTTTTAAATTTTGTGATTTTTTGGACTTTTTTACAGTTTTATAGGGATTTGAAACCTAAGTAGTTTGCTTTAAAATTTGAGAGCATTTTGATATTAATGTCCTCTCCGATTAAAATATGCAGTCAACATGGCCACCATCAGGGTGTTGTGGATCCAGTTGCGAACAATATACTAAAGATAAAAAAAATGTGCTCATTTTAATGATGTTGCATTCACCAAAAGCACTAATAGCTACAAGGATTTTTGAGATATAAGGATTCTAACTGTCTTCACATAAGGATGGATTTTTTTCATTAACAACTTCTCGAAAAACTTCATCTCCAAGACTTGAAAGAATTAAGTTGTGAGCTTTGTTCAACACCCCTCCGTGCAATCTTTCTTGTACTTTCATGATTGGCTCCTCCGATAGAGCCACATCCAAGCCTTGGTACACAAGTGCCTTCATTTTTTAGCCTCCAAAGGCTGAAATCATTGAGATTGGAGAACATTTCAATCTCAACCTGGGCTATTAACATTTTGTTGAATCTGGTAATCTCCTTGTTTCTTCTTGATCTAGCCCCAATACCACTAATAGATAAAAATTGCTTCTAAATTTTAATAAACAAAGACAACAATAATCCACACCCTTGTTCTCTATCAAATGAAAATTGCTCTGTAAAATGAACATAGGTTTCACATTCTTTCTATAAGAGCATCCCTCTAAAGCACTCCTTCTTAAGTCCTTCAGTTTTCAGCCTTAGCAATTCAACTTTCATCAGTCCTCAAGGTAGATTGCTTCACGGGATGTAGAAACCATGCTACAGTAGCCCTTTTTCTGTCTACGTCCAAGGCACAGCTCCTTCATGACTTCCCTCAACAGCTAGCGGGCAACCCTACCTCTGAGACGAGAACTCCTTAAGGTAGCACCTTTATGGCTTCTTCTTAACAAAAAGAGACGAAACACCTAAGGATCTTGATTAGAACTTGCGGGTCAGCAACAGGATAAAAACCAAAACAGAGCAAGAGAGAGAGAGAGAGAGAGAGTGATGGAAGCAACTTTCTCTGTTGATCTCAACCACAGGAAATCCTTTTAATATGAGCTGCCTTCCAATCTCAAAGCAAACTACTTAGACTCACATCCCCATAAAAATTGTAAAAATTCAAGTACTTACAAAAAAAATCCAAGCGAAATATACAGCTTAAAGCTTAAAGCAATTATCCGCTTGCAATAGTAATTTGACAAACATGACAAATCCAAGTTTGATCAAAGCTCACAAAAAATCAATCTCATATCAAGATTAAAATTTGTATCTCAGGCTGCTCACAACCGGAAGACAATGCCCTGCAGTCAATTACAAAGGGCTGATTGCAGACCTACATTGATTCAGAACCAGGGCATCTCAATTCCACAATTTTCAAATCTTGATGACTTAGCTCAGCCTTCTCGAACCTGACTGACTCAAACAATGCTTCAGCACGAAGTTATTGCCAAGCAATATATCAAGATTGGAGGGCTCTTTATGCAAAAAAAAAAGGAAAAATGCATGGAACTCCAGCTTTTATAGCAATCACCATCCTTGAAGCTACCACCAACCCATGGTCTTTTCTATGACAAGAGCAATGGAACAACCTACAGCTTCATCAACTGTAAGCCACTTCCAATTGGTGTCCCCCCCCCCTTCCAATTTGTTTAAATGTTCAATAATTTAGCGAAGAATGAACAAAATATAGAGCATTGGCATAGTAGTTTTGTTGAGCTTCAAACTTCTCTTTTTGTGCAAAGTATTATTCAGCATTGAATGTATGAAACTAAGGGCATTTTTATAGAGGGAGATAAAAAAGGTGAACTAACTGTCTTAGATGCACTATGGCTGTTGAAACATTGAAGAAACGAATAAGAGAGGCAATTGACACTGGCTTTCTCAAGAACTTCAACTAAGTTATCTTCCACCATGTGCATACATCCGCTAACAAGGTGGCCCACTTTTGCGCTCAATTAGCAATAAATGCTAATTTTGTATGGAAAAATTATTATAGGAACAATCTTCTTTCTGAATTTTTTGTTTTGCTAAAGGAGGGTGGTTATAATTTTGCATACGCTTAAGTTGTATGTTTGCTATTTTTGAATGAATGCAAAATGCAAGTTTCAACTAGATTTGTGCTTGCAACGAGTATAAATCCTCACATCTCCATCACTCAACTTACAGTAATGTTCAAATCTATAAAAGAATGATAATAGCAAAATGTCCAACAAAATGACAACAATTGGATCTTAGAAAAAAATCTACTTATCTATACCATTAAATGGAATCATATCATAAATATGCTGCATCTCATGCCAAAATATATTCTCATCTTTCTTTCTTGAAAAGAAGATGCACTTATACCATAAAGTTAGGTTTCCATGGTTAAAATGCTCGGAAAAAAAGAAATCATAATGAAAATAAGGAAATACATTCAAACAAATGACCAGTATAACAGTGTGTAAGACTATGGGGTTCTCCATCCAAGGAAGGCCACCCAACTTCTCAAGGATAAAAGAACTGATCAAAACCGAAGTACAGCCAACTTTAGTTAATTCAAAAGAAAATAAGTCTATCCTTTGCACAACGAAAATACTCTAAATTTCATCCAAACCTGTCGAAATAAAAAAAGAAGCAATGATGATATTAAAAACACCAATAGTTAAGTTTGACAATAGCAGGCATGGTAATTATTTGGCAAAAAGTGAAATGAAAAGCCTGGCAAATAATCTTACTTAATAGAGTAAAAAAATAATATTCTGAGCAAAAGCACCAATGCCCATGTTATCTTACAAAATCAGATCGTAAAAATCCTTGGTAAGTGCTCAATTTACTGTTTCATACCCTAAAGTTATAGCTCATACCCATGCTTCCATCCATTGTGGTCCCTCAGCACCATCCAATGCACAGCCCGCTATAGTACCATCTATCAAGAGCTGCTTTAGTGCATAATCATCAATTAGCTGACTGTTACTTGTATTGACAATAAAAGCTCCTACAAGAAAAGATCATTATTCTTAAACCAAAAAAAGGTTATGATGTACTTAGTGATCAAACCATTAGTAAAAGCTTTTCATAGATAAAAATAACTGAAAGAAAATGCAAGAATAACATGTAAATTCTCATACGATTTTACCATGTTTTATATGCTGCAGGCATTCAGCATCTAGAATCTGTATCGGCTCATCTGATAATGCACAATGAAGTGAAATGAGATCACTTGCTGCCAATAAATCATTGAGAGTATCCATTTTCCGAGCAGCAGGGGGAAATGTTACAGAACTCTGCTGAAATCTTCCTTTTCCCTTCGCATAATTGTTCTAGATAAGGACTAACAATAATTAGATCTCACTGCATTTATTTCAGCAATAGAAACTGCTAAGTTAATACGCAACGAGTACAAAACTGGTGAATTTCTAAAAGTTCAATACATGAATATTTTTACGAAAAGAAAATATCCAGTCCTGGCTTCAGGGAACTTACTTGAGCACGACTCATGACCCATTGTGTTTTGTTTAAGCATGTTGGGGTTTATCTCTGTCTGTAGTTGCAAAAAGAGGAAAAGGTAGAACTGGGGTGTGTGGGATAGCTGCAAGGCGATGCATCATTTGGTTCGTAGATGGTCTCCATTTCTTACACTCATCACAAGATGAGAGTATGAAACAGTAAAAAAGGCAGAGAATGAAAGCAGGGAATAAGAGAAAGGCCTTCTTTGCATGTGCAAGAATATTCACATTACAAAAGTTATATGTGTGTGTGTGTATATGTACACGAAAAATATCCAGGTTTTGTTAAAAAAATTTAGCTTTGGATAACAAATTTGCTCGAATGTAGCAGCAAATCCTGTAAAAAAGATTTCATAATGTAATTATCCCGAATTAATGAAGATATTCATATATTTATCAAGAGTTTTGACCTAATCTTATTTTGGTTTTCATAAGTTGATCTCACCTTTTAAGATAAAATTTGATTTATTGTCTGGCAGAAACTTAACTCTCTGAGAACCTCGTCCAATCATTCATAGAGGTTAACTCAACATTTCAAAACATCAACATTTTGTGGTGCCTATCTTTGCTAGTATGTAGGGCTGAGTTCTTAGATCCCTTTTATTTTTTTAAAAATAAGCATTATCTATCAATAAACTTCAGGTAAAATGATATTTTAGCCTAATAAGTTGACCAAAAATAACAAGTTGCGTTCTTAGCAAGATGTATTACATTTTGAATATTACAAAAAAAGCATGTTGTCATCATGTTCATTTCTTAACCGTTTCAAGAATTTTCTAGTCAGGCCATCATTTAGTCAGCCTCAGCAACTATATCATATTATTCCTCTATAAGACATCCAACTAATAGCAATATCATTCAAGCTAGAGACATATCCAATTGTAATTCTTCAGGATTCAGATCAACATCAAGAAAATCCTAAGTTTTATGCCAACCTTATTATATATCAATAAAGACTTTTTAAGTAGCATAGGATCCATTCCACATGTTCCAAACGAGCCTTGCTTGGAATCTAAGGATAGTTCCCACTACATGGGCTATATCAGGTCTTGTGCATATTACGTATCACTTATAGGGATGTTGTATGCATTGCAAATGTAGAAATCTTTGTCTTTATACTGTGTCGCGTGCATTGCGAATTGTTACATTTGTTATATGTCGAGTTCTTTCATCTGCTGGGGACTCTATTGTGTTGGTTGCACATTGCTAGCTATCATCCATAGGCGGTCTGTTGTATAAATAAGGAGTCTTCTACAGTGGCTCATAGGGACTATGAAATAATGTATATTTAAATATGATTGTTTATTTTGGTCTTCAAGTATGTTAGCTCCTTGATATTCTATAAAATTACAAAAAAGATAATGTCCCTCAAAGGAAGAAGAATCATCTCCTTTTTGGAAACTACAAGTATGTGTAAGCAAGCATATTTAAAATCCTTACAGCTCTGCTTACATTAACAACTCGATCTAAGTACACAAAGAATCTATAATTTACATTTACATTCACTTTTTTCCATCTTTACATTCTACACTGACACTTTGCAAAAATGAAATATATATATATATATATATATATAAACAATAATATTGTTAGCAATCAATCTTGATTTCTAGGCAAGAATTTGTGGGATCCTAATATCCTTTTTTCACATAAAAATTGTGGATTCTAACACTCCCCATAATATTAATGAATAGATGCTTTACATTTCCAACTTGAATAAAATTATTGAGACACTCTACTATTTAACCTCTTAGTAAGTTGTTGATCAATAATTATAGAGAGCATGCAAATGAAGTCACTATCCAACTTTTAAATGAAGAGTCAGTCAACCTTTATATGCTTTGTTCAATCATGCTCCACTAGATTATGTGTTATGTTCATTACAAACTTATTGTCGTAATAAGGTATGAACAAGTTTCTAACTAAATCTTCAAATCCTCTAAATTGATATTCAACCAAGGTTGTGAAAACCGAACCGGGCAACGAACTGGAAGAAGGAGAGTTTCACGGTGATGAGAACATCGAAGATCAATGGCTACGATCATGAGTTATTTATTTATATGTACTAGTTTATTTCATATTATTATTTTTCCCTTTATACCCTTACGGGTGGTCATGTAGTATTGTAGCCCAAAGGGCATTTTAGTCTTTTATTTCTTTTCTTTTCATGAGGCCTATTTATAGGCTAGTTGTTTTGTATTTTGGGATGATGATTATTGAATGAAAAATTTTTCTCTTGTGTTCTCTTTGTGAGTTCCTTTTTGAAGATCTCTTAGTGAGTTCATTTCTCCTAGATCTCTGTGTGAGTTCTATGGAAAGCCCAAGGTGAGGGCAAAAGCAATACCCGTCAATCTTGGTGGATTCCAAGGTTCGCGGTTTTCTTATCTTTCTCTTTCTTTTAATTTTCCTTGCATCGAATTCCCTCCCCAAACTTCCTACCCGACGGCCACCACTTTCCCCTTCCCCTCATGCCGCCGGCCACCTCTACAATCCCCACCATTATGATGATCTTCCTCATCATAATTGCCTTCCTAAGTTAAGCCAAGCCAAGAGGGAAAGAATTCAAATTATTTGGAATTCAAATTTTGAATTCAAATACTTTCCTTATTTGGAATTCCAAATTAGGAAAGTGAATAAGTCTCAATCTAATTTGAATTTCAATTAGATTGGATATGATAATTCCTTTCCTAATTTACATAGCTTATTTTGATTTTGAATTTCAAAATTCAAATCCCCCCCTCAATACTTTCCTAAAATAACTTCTATTAATTTGGAAACTTTTGATTTGAATTCAAAATTATTTGAAATTCAAATTAATCTCATATTAATGAATCTTATTTTAGGAAACCCATTCAACCTCTCAAATCTGAAATTAATTCAGATTTAATCATCTAATTAAATTGATGGCATGGGGACCACATACAATGAATGTGGACAGGTTTTCCCTAACTCCTTTGGACCGCCCCCTCCCCTTCCTTTTCTTCTCCTTCAATTAAGCCCCTCACAATCAATTAAACCCAATAATCCCAAGTAAGCCGTCAGCCTCCCCCTCTAATTTCTTCCTAATTATTTCCCGCTAAAGCCTTGGGAAATTTCGAATCCTTCCCTTCCCCAAATTACTTAATCTGAAGCAAAAATCAGATTCTTGTTTTGGAAGGCTTCTCCCTAACACTACCCTTCCCTAGACCGTGACCTAGAGAGGGTTTTTGCCATCACATGACTGCTGTCCAGCCTCTGTGCATCCCCGAAGTGCTGTCCAAGAAGCTACAGCAGATTTCCTTGCTGCCCCACAACTCAGCATTCCTTGTTTTGCTGGCCAGAAGCATTCCGCCATCCGCCTGCTCCTCCAGATCTGAAAATTCAGCAAGTTCATCCAGCTGAATTGCTGAACAAGTGGTTTCCATTCCTGCCCAAAAATTTCCAGCAAGCTTCCCTTGTTGTCCAAAAATATCTGGACGTTTATAGTGGCTGACCTCCTTCTCAAGACCTTGGATATTATTGTCCCAGCTCTTCCTCTTGCTGTCTTAAGTAGCTGTCTAGGC